GGAAAAGGCTCGCGCTGCCACTGTGTTGTCAGTGGTAGCAGAGCCCTCGGTATTGGGCTCGCAGCCATGGATGGGGATCCTGGCGATGTCATGAAGTTCGCCTACGGCAGGGCCTCCCTCTGCAATTTTTTTGGGGACTGTCACATGCACCGGCGCGACCAACTCCACAACACAACAAAAAGCCCTGAAACCAAAGGCAGCAGCTTTTTGCTCCGGGGTGGTTGCTTTTCGCGGCTGCCCGAGCCTAGCGATTAGCCAGGCCCGGGTTGTTGTCGCTGAGCGAGCTTGGAACATCTTGCGCGAGTAGCTCCAGCAGTTGTCTTTTGAAGTTGGTAAGCTGTGTCCAAAGCAGTCGCCCAGATCGCGTCATGGCGCCCCTCACCATGGGCTTTGGCGAGTTGACCTGGTGTACCGGCGCCGGGAGATTTGGCCTTGAGACTCGCAGAAGTTGCAGGAATCCCTTGCAGTTGTGAATGCCAAGGCGTTGTTTGATGTGTGATGACAACTGCCGCGTGGGCCGCTGCGTGGGCCTGGAAATGATTGATGGGCAGAAAAGCAAGGGCAAGGCTGACCGCTCCTGCGGTGGGCTGCTGGGCGCGGGCCAAGGGAGAGAATGGGAGCAGTTGAGTTTAAGCCCTGCTTGCGTGGACTGCTTCGATGCAATTGTTTTGGCGCCCATTTTGGGGGATAATCGGATTTGCTCTTCACAATGGGGAGGTGTGGCTTAGACTGATGGAAGTGCTTTGGAATACTGGCCAGCAGTTTGCAGCTTGAAAAGATGAACCCGAGTAGATTTTTTCTTACCTTATGGTCAGCCCATGCTTCCTGGCTGGCCCTGCAAAACATGAGCCCTGGGTACTTAAAGGGGCGATTTGGTACTTGGCGAGTGGTTAGTAAGCCCAGGTATGGCCCACTGAACGGAGATAGAGATTTGCTGCAAAAGGCCCAAGATTCTACCTGGGTCAGATGGCGAGCAGGGAGTGAGTCTGAAAGGGGTCAGCGGATAGGAGTCGTGCTTCTTGGGATTGCCTCCCCTTTTTGGTGGTTTTCAACCTCAACAAACACGTTCTTGGTCAAACTAAAGAACTTCCCAAATGATATTTCAGAAAACCTGAAAGGACAGCAACCAGCTTTAGGTCGCGGTGGAAACCCTGAGGAAGCCCCGCATTCTGCGAGCCCATCCTTTCAGCTCCATCTGGGAAGGTAAAAAAACAGGTGCTTCTTGGATCCAGAGCTAGAAGAGAAACATGCGAAGGTGATGGCCGAAGTTCCCCGAACAAAAAAGGCCAACCCAGTCAGGACTCAGGACTATCTCACTAGGAAGTCCCACACCACACCGCGAAATGAAAAACCATGGTTGAAGCCACAAGGTTGAAGTATGTACAGTTCCGGAAGGATCGAATCGTAAACTGTTGGGTTTCTAAACGGTGCGAAACTGGGATTTCGCGAGCACCACAGTGCCTCCCCGTTCTATGGTTCTGTCTCAGCGGACTCACTCGACCAGGGCTGCATCGAAGCCAAGCACTTGAAGTGGCTGAATACCGCCTACGACCCGGAAGCGCCCCTTGGGCCCGATCTTAAAAAGAACATGGTGTATCTTGGGGAGTGTTTTGCTTGTTTGTTATTGATTTGCGTCTTCTGTGCTTTTGTTGGTGGACTATATTTGTTTGATGTTGGGATGATGCGATACTCTTGGGATGATTCTGGGCAAGCTATTTAAAGAACTCGCTTCAACCATGATGAAGAACCTTTGCTTGGGATTCATTGTTTCCGGTGGGTGAACTACAGCAGTTTGTTGCTCGTTTTGTGCTAAATGTGGTGTGTTTGCGTGCGTGGCTGTGCTGTTGATCTTTTATGGGTGGGGGTTGATGTTGTTTGCTGCTGATTGTTTTGGGATTAGGGCTTGGCGTATGTTTGAATCAATGAGTAGCTGTGACGGTTTGTTTGGGGGGGTTGCGATACTTAAAGGGGCATGGTACTTAGCAAGTGGGTATTATTCTTAAATGGCCTGCACCAGGATTGTCCCGGCACGACACGCCAATGGAAACACGTGGGGTTACCTAAAAGTGGTAACGGTTTCCTTTGGGCGGCATTGGAGGCCCCAGAAAGGAATTGTGGTTCGCTTTTGTGCTCCTTGTGTGTAATATACATATATATATATACATATTCGTATTATATCTGTACACATTGACATATTTAACCCCATGAAAAGCATTTTCAAAAGGCAGACCCGTAAGGACCCCAAACAAGAAGGCCCGCGGCTCACGCGAAATCAACGCGGATTCCATCCGTGGGGTTTCCCTCTGCTTTTTGGTCTTGGGGGTCGCCCCCGTGGTTTTGAACGTCTGTCGGAAAGTGAGCCTCCTTCTGATTGGCCAAAACAGGGGGTGGTTTCGGTATGTTTTGTTTTTGTGGTGAAGGGAAGCTCACAGGGAACCCAGCTTTTTGGGGCTTCCTATAAGGAGACAGATAGACCCTTGTGTTCTTGCTCATGTTTGCAACAAGCCGTCAGCTTCAAGCCAAACAGGGCTGCGACGAAAGCGGCCCTCTTTGGGGTCCCAAAGCAGAAAGAAAGCAAACGTGTGCCACGTTTGGATATTGTTGGGGGTCCAACCCAAGTAGTGATGTGGAGGTGCGAGCAACGGTCAGTCTTCACAGGTCCTTTGCTGTAGTCAAGGGTATGACAGATGAAATTTGTGCGAATCACTTTAATCTTTGTCCCCTGTTAAGCCCGAAGATTGCAATGCCGAGTGCCGGTCGAGTGTAATTGCCCAAGGTGCTTTGTTTGGAGGTGAGATGCGTGGAGAGTTGAGGCACCACATCGTCAAGATGTTGGACTGCTTTGTTTTCAAGAAGCACCTCTGCATCGTCTTTGAGCTGCTGCTCGGCAGAGCTTTCAGCCATGAGTTTTGCTGGCGGTTTTGCAAAAGACTTGAAGGAATCAAACACTACTGAAAGGAGCAGAGCAGGGCACCTAGTAAATGGTTAGTAAGTTATTACCACCCACTTACTAAGTACAATGCCCCTTTAAGTAGCTAGGGGTGTTGCTGGCCAAACACGCCGGCCACGCCGGCTTGGTTTGAATCATTTGCGCAAATGTGGTGTCCTTTCGGGGCCCTTCAAACCCCAGAGCTGCTCCAAGCCACGTGGTACTCCGACCTGAAATCGGGGTGTGACACCCCTTTAACATAATCATACTATCGGCCTATTTTTTCTACCTTTGAAACCTTGTATTTGGCACTGCTCCAGTTGGATGTGCGATGGATGCGCGTGCCTTCTCGCTCCCCTTTTTGCGGTACATCTTGACCTCATCGCCAACCCTAGCAAGGGGATATGTACGGGTTTTCATTCTGTTCATTTCAAGTTGAATGCAGGATATCGGTGACGCAATCCACCCCTTGTATGTCACATGTTCTCTTTTTTCATCGTCATCAACTCATTGAAAAACATGTCCTTCAACGTTCTAGTGAAACGCTCGGCGAAACGCGAGTGCCCTCTTGTTGTGTAGTTCTGAATCCCTTGATCCCTGAGAAAAATAATAAGATCGTGTGCATTGAGACTCCCTTCATCATCCGAATAAATCAATTTGGTTCCCCCCCCCCTCATGTCGGCAGGTTGCTTAGATGCGACGGCTATACGGGAGAATACATCAAACACCAATTGAAGCAATGGACAAGAAACACTTAGAAGATTAGTTTTGGGAAACAAACAGTGAAAGCATGGAAGATGCTTCCGATGAATTTAATGAATCATTTAATGACTAGTACATGACATTGCTATGAATGACGAGCACAGGCATACGGAGAAAGTATTAGAATGGACATCGCCGACATAGAGAATGAAATACGCTTCAATGAAGATATATAGTGATAGTGAGGCATGACGGTGATGAGTTGGACGATTACTTCGATGATTTGCACAATTCAGCCGTAGGCAAATTTTACGGTCTGATTACTATGTTGCAATTGTAGCATACTTTTATCGTATGAGCAGTGGTGGTGCCTATGTATCTAAGCCTTGCTCACCAATTTTTCAATATTTTCCAATCTCATGTTTCTGGGGCAATCTACTGAGGTAATGACATGATTTGGGTTAGCGAATATATTTTTAGTTTTCTACTGGCTAACCACCTTTTGGGGAGAAAGATTTGGTTGAAAGGGTGTTTTGATAGGCGTATTTGATTTGTGCCAAAAAGTGTAGGGGTGGTATGCCAAATATGGGCGGGAGAGGCTAGTTCTAACTTCAAATGGTGGGTTTCCTTTGGTTTCCTTTCAGTCCACCCTTAAAAGGGTACCCTCCAAAAATGACAACTGACAGTATTCCGAATTCTCGAATCAGCTTGAAAACCATGATTCAGGTTGGGACGTGGTGATGCAGCGCTTTACAAAAGCAGATTCTAACATCATGTGTGTAGCTTCAAAGAACCCCAACACTCAGAGCACGAAATTGAAAGCCACCCAAGGCACAGCATTCGGGCCACACTCAAAAACCTGCGTAGATGAAGGTTAGTAAGGGACAATCCCAAACATATGTGGCTGCGGATATCTTTCTTCTTGAAGCATGGTTCTGGGATTACGACCATTTTGATCAAAGGAAGTTTAGAAGGAAACTTCCGAGTTACGGAAACTAATTAAAAGGTAGCTCTGCGCAAAGATGAGATGGAGAAAGAATGAATGCATGCGAGAAAACGTGCGTATACGTGTGGCGGGGGAATAGAAATCTGCAAAAAGTGCAACCCTCTGCGGGTTTTGGCTTCTCCGGCTGGCTGAAAGCTACCCCGGTCGGATAGATAGAAAGAGATAGAGAAAGAGATAGAGAGATAAATAGACAGAAAGAAAGAGAGATAGAGAGATAGAAAGATAGAAAGAGAGACAGAGATAGAGGGATATAGAGAGATGGATAGATAGAGAGATAGAGAGATAGGTAGATATATAGATAGAGATAGAGAGATAGATAGAGAAGATAGATAGATAGATAGATAGATAGATAGATAGATAGATAAGCAGATAAGCAGATAGATAGATAACACGAGAGATAGATAGACAGGTAGTTAGGTATAGATAGGTAGAGAAAGATAGATAGACAAGCAAACGAAAGAAAGCAATAAAAGACAGATAGAAAGAAGGAAAGAAGGGAGGAAGGAAGGAAAGAAAGGAAGAAGGGAAGAATGACGGAGAAAAAGAGTCAAGAAAAGAAAGAGAATGATATTTATAGTTTTTTTGAAACTTCCGCCACCCGGCTTGCCGGCTTTACTGGGATACCGGGTTTTGAGTATGACTCAAATTCAAAGAACCGGCGAGGTTTTCTCTTGTTTGTTTTAAAGGGAATTCATCACTACTGGACATATGTTTATTTGTCCTGGGGCCTTAAGCAAATGGAAGCAAGGCTCAGCATGAACCTCTTTGAGTTCCTGAAGTGGAACAACTACAAAGGGGCGACCATGGCCATCATCCAGATCGTCACCCGCCAGCTGCTCAAGGCGGGGTTCGGGGCTTGGCCCGCTTGCTGCCATGGCGATTGGGAACGGGTGGGAGCCCGGGACGCTGCAACTGCTGGGCTTGGGATAAACCACCAGAGGATTGCTCCAAAAAACAACTGATGGCGTTTTTGATGCAGAGAGTGCCCCGCCCACCCCAACAAGAGGCCGGGTGCAGCCGGTGTCCTGGTCCAACTTGAGCTGGGAGCTTGCAGCAGCCAGAGTTTCTTCGTATTTCCGCGAGCACGTAAAAGGGCATTGACCGCAGTTCCTGGAGGCATTTTGAAGGTCTTTCGGGAACGTCCGTTTCGCAAAGTTCGAAGTCTTAGGATCCAGAGAAGCGAGGCTAGACCATTGAGCCCTTTGGTTTTCCTAGCGGCAAGACCATTTCTACCCTTCTGAAAGGGTCGAATGGGAGCAATCCGGGTTTCCCTTGAAACACCACCAAAAGGAGCCGCCTCAAAAATGGCACTCGATGTCCCTTCTTGGGGTGACGTCAACACACCAAAAGGGTTGGCCTTTTGAACAGGGATTTCTGGGTTGATATTCAAAGGTAGGAGCGCGGAAGGTTTGGTTCTTCATGGGGTCCCTGGATTCTATTATAGAAGGGGCAAATTCGATTGGCGATCACGGCAAATGGGTTTGTTGACAGAACTCTTCATGTAAATAATGTCCACCGGGTTCCTAATCATAGTTCATTGACAGGAAACTAAGCAGCTACTACCCCCCAATGAACTTACGTCTTTCCCGTTGCAAATGAACCTCCTAAGTTAACGCGTTTAACCAGGGTTCCTTACAACTTAGCTCAACATAAGGTGCGCAACGAAAACACTAAGAGCTTACCCCTACAATCATGCCTATCATTGGTCTGAAAGCACCCCACCCATTCGGCTCCCTGAACAGACATGTGCCCAAGACACGGGCCAAAAGTGCAACTACGTTCGATGGCCGGGACCGATGAAGTCCAAAGCGAATCCACATCGGATTTCTGCTTACTAGCCAACTGAATATGACATAGTTTCTGAGGAGGCCCCCGCATTTTCCTCAAGTGTAACATGCTCTGGCCCTTTTCGGATCGAGGGAGATGCCTTTTCTTTGTGCCAAACGCCCCGAAAGATGCGGTGCGGAAGCTAGTGAAGCCCGGAGTTTTTCCCCGAAACGCTGATTTCAGGCCGCTTTGGTTGCAAACGGGATATCTCAGGGCGCCCAATGTCTCTTTTGCTAGTTCTGGGTCTTTTTTCCGCACTGGTTGACAGGGAAACAGAACGGATCCCCCGAAACTTGGGTCACGGGTTCGTGATGAAGGCCACTTAGCTGAACATCCTTTGATTTAGTTGCCTGGACACTCCCTTCCAAAAAAGTGCCGATGCGTCGATAGAATTCCCCTTCGTTCCAGGCGCTGCATTGCATGCGAGCGGCGTGTCTGATCCACTGTGACCTCAAGCCCGAGTCCCCCGGCTGAGAGAAAGCGCGCGGGATTCTCCCTCGCCTGAACTGATTAATGCAGGTTTGTGGCCAATCGTTAGGGCCCTCCTACACACCGAAATGGGTGTCAGAACCCTTCTAAGAACCGCCTCTTGGGTTGGGGGTGGCCCTGGGTTCTTCGCCTAGGGTTCCAACTTGAGAGAATCACCTGTTTGCAGTCCTCTGCTGATTCGTTTTGAGGGCGGAGCCAAGAAGTCCAAAATGCCCTCGTCGATTTGGTGGGTTTGGGCTAGGTTGCGTTTGAATCGGGTTTTGGATGGATTTGGGGCTTGGGCTGGCAGTAGCGGTCACAAGGGTTGAATTTGAGGTCGGCTTGAGTGGCAGCTTAAGCTGTTCAGCTGGCTTGGCTGGGTGAGCATGTACCAATCAATACCTGGCCAGCAACAGCCGCGAAGCTAAGCCTCAGCCCACTTGCGATCATCTCCCCGAGCCCCGAACCAAACCTAAGGAGGTCCTCGAATGTTGAAGCATTTCCAATAAAAAACTTGCGGCGCCTTCTTTTCAACTTGTTTTGGATGGGGCTTCCCCAAACTCAACCAGCCCAACAATGGCGCAAGCCCCAGCTTCCCCGGCCACAGGAGGTTGGCGAGAAACATCACACCAGGAGATCCCCTGGGTCGATGAACCTCATTTTTCCAGGGGAGGCCCAAGCCAAAGAGAAGCTCTTACGGCCGGACGGAAGTTTAGACATGATAGCTTTGCAAAATCCCATCCAGGCACTTGTGATGAAAGCCCCGTGAATCTGCGGTTCCGGTTCCCGTTTTATTTTTTTGGAGTTGGTACCCCCCCCCCCCCCACCATTTTGGAGGGTCCCTGCAAGAAAGACACCATATGGAGCGTCCTTTAAGGAACGTGATGGTCGTCTCCCTGGAGCCCATGAGGAGTCGGAGAGATCGTTCGTCCGGGGGTTCGCTCGAGTTGCACCAAGCAGTCCTTTGGGCAACTGAGAGAAAGCTGTCGGGGGGTGACTTTTTTGTGGGGATCCTGCACTTTGAGCACAGGATGTGTTCCAAAAAATCGGGGGTTCCATGATTTCAACGTGTCTTAGAATGGGGTACCACCAAATGGTGTTGTATTTCATTGGTTTCCATTTAACACCACCCCCGAAAGGGTAGCCTCAAAAAAGACAGCCGTTTGACTCTCCTTTTTGCCAGGCGATGACATGGAAGCTAGGACTGCTTGGGAGACTTAGTCCTCTCGATAGAATCGCTGACAGATGTTGACGGAGGTGGAGCGAGCATGAGGACAGCATCTGTGCTGGCTAGGTATGCAGGTAGTTGCAGGGATGAGATAAAGATAAATTCAGCGGGCTGAGTGATTGTGACGAGACACATCTCCGCTTACTTTCTGAGGCAGTCATTGATGCTTGAGTTTTGTTTTGTTGGATGCTTGTCAGATGTTCACAGTGGAGCGAGCATGAGGACAGCATCTGTGCTGGCTAGGTATGCAGGTAGTTGCAGGGATGAGAGAAAGATAAATTCAGCGGGCTGAGTGATTGTGACGAGACACATCTCCGCTTACTTTCTGAGGCAGCCATTGATGCTTGAGTTTTGTTTTGTTGGATGCTTGTCAGATGTTGACAGTGGAGCGAGCATGAGGACAGCATCTGTGCTGGCTAGGTATGCAGGTAGTGCTGGCTAGGCATGCAGGTAGTTGCAGGGATGAGGGAAAGATAAAATCAGCGGGCTGAGTGATTGTAACGAGACACATCTCCGCTTACTTTCTGAGGCAGTCATTGATGCTTGAGTTTTGTTTGTTGGATGCTTGTCAGATGTTCACAGTGGAGCGAGCATGAGGACAGCATCTGTGCTGGCTAGGTATGCAGGTAGTTGCAGGGATGAGAGAAAGATAAATTCAGCGGGCTGAGTGATTGTGACGAGACACATCTCCGCTTACTTTCTGAGGCAGTCATTGATGCTTGAGTTTTGTTTTGTTGGATGCTTGTCAGATGTTCACAGTGGAGCGAGCATGAGGACAGCATCTGTGCTGGCTAGGTATGCAGGTAGTTGCAGGGATGAGAGAAAGATAAATTCAGCGGGCTGAGTGATTGTGACGAGACACATCTCCGCTTACTTTCTGAGGCAGTCATTGATGCTTGAGTTTTGTTTGTTGGATGCTTGTCAGAGATGCATTCAGCGGGCTGAGTGATTGTAACGAGACACATCTCCGCTTACTTTCTGAGGCAGTCATTGATGCTTGAGTTTTGTTTGTTGGATGCTTGTCAGATGTTCACAGTGGAGCGAGCATGAGGACAGCATCTGTGCTGGCTAGGTATGCAGGTAGTTGCAGGGATGAGAGAAAGATAAATTCAGCGGGCTGAGTGATTGTGACGAGACACATCTACCGCTTACTTTCTGAGGCAGTCATTGATGCTTGAGTTTTGTTTTGTTGGATGCTTGTCAGATGTTCACAGTGGAGCGAGCATGAGGACAGCATCTGTGCTGGCTAGGTATGCAGGTAGTTGCAGGGATGAGAGAAAGATAAATTCAGCGGGCTGAGTGATTGTGACGAGACACATCTCCGCTTACTTTCTGAGGCAGCCATTGATGCTTGAGTTTGGTTTTGTTGGATGCTTGTCAGATGTTCACAGTGGAGCGAGCATGAGGACAGCATCTGTGCTGGCTAGGTATGCAGGTAGTTGCAGGGATGAGAGAAAGATAAATTCAGCGGGCTGAGTGATTGTGACGAGACACATCTCCGCTTACTTTCTGAGGCAGTCATTGATGCTTGAGTTTGGTTTGTTGGATGCTTGTCAGATGTTCACAGTGGAGCGAGCATGAGGACAGCATCTGTGCTGGCTAGGTATGCAGGTAGTTGCAGGGATGAGAGAAAGATAAATTCAGCGGGCTGAGTGATTGTGACGAGACACATCTCCGCTTACTTTCTGAGGCAGCCATTGATGCTTGAGTTTTGTTTTGTTGGATGCTTGCCAGATGTTGACAGTGGAGCGAGCATGAGGACAGCATCTGTGCTGGCTAGGCATGCAGGTAGTTGCAGGGATGAGGGAAAGATAAAATCAGCGGGCTGAGTGATTGTGACGAGACACATCTCCTCCGCTTACTTTCTGAGGCAGTCATTGATGCTTGAGTTTTGTTTTGTTGGGTGCTTGTCAGATGTTCACAGTGGAGCGAGCATGAGGACAGCATCTGTGCTGGCTAGGTATGCAGGTAGTTGCAGGGATGAGAGAAAGATAAATTCAGCGGGCTGAGTGATTGTGACGAGACACATCTCCGCTTACTTTCTGAGGCATGATGACAGCATCTGTGCTGGCTAGGTGTGCAGGCAGTTGCAGGGATGAGAGAAAGATAAATTCAGCGGGCTGGAGTGATGTGACGAGACACACTTCCGCCATTTTCTGAGGCAGCCATTGATGCTTGAGTTTTGTTTTTGTTGGATGCTTGTCAGATGTTCACAGTGGAGCGAGCATGAGGACAGCATCTGTGCTGGCTAGGTATGCAGGTAGTTGCAGGGATGAGAGAAAGATAAATTCAGCGGGCTGAGTGATTGTGACGAGACACATCTCCGCTTACTTTCTGAGGCAGCCATTGATGCTTGAGTTTTGTTTTGTTGGATGCTTGTCAGATGTTCACAGTGGAGCGAGCATGAGGACAGCATCTGTGCTGGCTAGGTATGCAGGTAGTTGCAGGGATGAGAGAAAGATAAATTCAGCGGGCTGAGTGATTGTGACGAGACACATCTCCGCTTACTTTCTGAGGCAGCCATTGATGCTTGAGTTTGGTTTTGTTGGATGCTTGTCAGATGTTCACAGTGGAGCGAGCATGAGGACAGCATCTGTGCTGGCTAGGTATGCAGGTAGTTGCAGGGATGAGAGACAGATAAATTCAGCGGGCTGAGTGATTGTGACGAGACACATCTCCGCTTACTTTCTGAGGCAGTCATTGATGCTTGAGTTTTGTTTTGTTGATGCTTGTCAGATGTTCACAGTGGAGCGAGCATGAGGACAGCATCTGTGCTGGCTAGTATGCAGGTAGCTGCAGGGATGAGAGAAAGATAAATTCAGCGGGCTGAGTGATTGTGACGAGACACATCTCCGCTTACTTTCTGAGGCAGTCATTGTTGCTTGAGTTTTGTTTTGTTGGATGCTTGTCAGATGTTCACAGTGGAGCGAGCATGAGGACAGCATCTGTGCTGGCTAGGTATGCAGGTAGTTGCAGGGATGAGAGAAAGATAAATTCAGCGGGCTGAGAGTGATTGTGACGAGACACATCTCCGCTTACTTTCTGAGGCAGCCATTGATGCTTGAGTTTTGTGTTGTTGGATGCTTGTCAGATGTTCACAGTGGAGCTCAAACAGACAACAGCATCCTTGTTGCTGGCCATTCCCCCCAGGTACATGCAGGGATGAAGAGAAAAAGTCATACCCGGTCACCACACCTTTCTGTCAGCGTGACGAGACACATCTCCGCTTACTTTCTGAGGCAGCCATTGATGCTTGAGTTTGGTTTTGTTGGATGCTTGTCAGATGTTCACAGTGGAGCGAGCATGAGGACAGCATCTGTGCTGGCTAGGTATGCAGGTAGTTGCAGGGATGAGAGAAAGATAAATTCAGCGGGCTGAGTGATTGTGACGAGACACATCTCCGCTTACTTTCTGAGGCAGCCATTGATGCTTGAGTTTGGTTTGTTTGGATGCTTGGCAGAGGCTGACGGAGCTGGAGCGAGCATGAGGAAGGATCTGTGCTGGTCTCGATCATGCTTGACCGGTCTGGCCCAAAAGTAAACCGGCCAAACTCGCGGGGCCTTTGGATTCTTTTCGTCGCGGTTTTTTTCTGGGGACGAGCAAATGAGCCGTGGCAGGGGTCATATATTTTGCCATAGAGCACTCAAGAGCAAAGGGGCAAAGGGGAGGTTTCCATGCGCCAGTTTCCATGGGCGGACTCCTGAAAAAAACCAGGTGAGAAGTACGGAACTCTGGAGGAAAGCCAGCAACCAGAAAATCTCCCCCTGCCTACATGCTTCAATGAGCACAGGTGTGGTTTTCCCTGCTGAGGTCATTGTAAGCATTGCCTCAGCATTTCCAGTTGTGCTTGGTGACTTCCGTTCAAAAGGGATAAGCAAGTTGTGATTTGGATTGAGATCAATTTTTATCAAGCTCAAGCCAATGCGTTTACACAGTACATGTGTATATATATATATAGCATAGCAGCTCTTTATTCAAAAAGCACTCAATGTGGCTGCCCTTGTTGATGTGATAATGTCAGCATATCCGCTGTCATTTTTCCCCGTTTGGTTATTTTCTAGCTAAGGCTGTGAACAAGGGACCGGTTGCATGGCTTCCTCCAGTGCTTTGGGCATGCCATATTCTTCCAGCAACGGAAGGGGACAGGAAGGCAAAACGGTTGGTTTGAAGTTTGGCTTCCTTTTGGAACCGACCAAACACGTTGGGGTTCCCCAAGAATGGCACCAGGAGGTGTGATGAAGTGTGGGTGTGAAGGCTATTGGGGGTGACTTAGCTCAAGGAGGCAGGCTACTTGGACGGTTAGCAACCCTCTTTCACCCACTTCAAAAGGTCTTAGACCTACAGGGCACAGACAAAAAACTCGCCAGGGTTCCAAGAGCTGTTTCCTTTCGGCCGATGGCCGGAAGCAGCGTCGCAGCAGCGCAGGGTGAAGCTCATTGACTTCGGCTCCGCCTGCTCGGACGACATGAAGGCGCACAGCTACATCCAATCTCGCTTCTACAGGCGTGAGGGAGGGGACGTGGGAGGGGAGGGAGGGGAGGGAGGGAGGGGGACGAGGGACGAGGGAGGACCAGGGAGGCTTTTGTCAGGGAGGAGCAGAAACAAAGGATTTCCCCCGTTTTCGCGAGTCAGGGGATTTTTGGAAAGGGGGGGGACGAGCCAGTTCATTTCGAAGGGAGCCTCCACAGTTTTCCCCGTTAGGATCTTTAGGACATGGTTTCAACTGGCCATTTCCCTTCGGAAGCTCCAAAAGTGGTGTTTTTTATGGAGGCCATTTGTAAATTGCAACTGAAGGGGAAATCCAGTGACCCATGCAGGATGTTTAGGTTGCTTCAAGTTGATGCATTTGGGCGAATGGCGTGGCGTTCTCCGCAGGTTCAGTGTGAATGGGTGTGCCCTCATTCCAACAGTGAAAGTGGGCTTCCTCGCGCAAGTTGCCAGAGTTTTTGGTTTCGGGTCGCTACAAGTTGATACAGTTTGGCTCACATTCCCATTGGAAGATTCTCACTCATATTGTGGATGTATCTTTTGGGAAGCCCTGTGTCCCTTCCAGCCTGTTCCAGGGCGACCCCTGTTCCGTTCCTCGCGTCGATTCCACCAAGCGACATCCTGGAAAATATCCATATGGTCATATAAAGGGTACCAACCCAAGATGTCCAAAAGCGCGTTTGTTTCAGGCGACCCCCTTTCTAAAACATGGGTTGTTTTGCTTTGCTTCAAAAAAAAGGCGCACCCAAAACGAAGTTGAGACCGCCTCGAACCGTTCACCCGGGTCCAAGCCCTTTTGCCGTCAGGAGTCCAGAGATCTTGCTTGGCGTTCCGTACAGCAGCGCCATCGATCTCTGGAGCCGCGGGGGCGGGGGGGGGGAGGTAGCGTCGAAACGGTTGGGTTGATGAAAGATAGGCAGGGAATGAGAGAACGGACTTTTGTTAGCCACCTCGTGCCAAAACAAATTTCTGAAGCGGATTCCGATCGGTTCATTCCCGAAACCCCGAGCATGGTTCCCTGCTGAGCAAGATGGGCGTGCCTTTCGGGTTTTGGTTTTTTTTTGGCCGCGTCACACCCAAACACGACATCACGAAACATGTTCGAGACGGACCCCACGGCTCCCGGGGCGCCTAGGGTATCCTGCGCCCGTGTAGCCACTAGGCCGCCTTGGGGGCCTTTTGAAGGTTGGGTCTAGCTTTTTTGCCTCTTAAAGGGAAGCCTGAAGGACAAACGACCATTGTGGGGCCTCTCCTCTTTTTGTTTTGACGAACATAGACATAGATTGAGTCCGCCTTTCAAGGGCTTCACTCACGCCTGGGTTGAACCATAAATCGCCCCCATCCAGACAAAGCCCCATGAATTCTCCCATCCAGTAGGGTACCCACCGTGGCTCACCCTTTCCCCATGACTTGCAGGTGCTTGACATGGGCTCTTCGTTGACTTCCGCACGGGGCGGAATCGGAGTGGAACAGGCCCGATCAACTAAGATCTATCGGAGCTCTTGGAAGGTGAACTTTCAAGAAAGCATCACTTCTACGATTGGAGGGAAAACCTGAGCCCTGGAAGATCACTTAGGCCAACCAGTTCGAAGGTTTGTCATATGTTCGGGCCCTTTTTTCTATTTCCCCTTAGGCTGGATTTAAACATCACTTTTTGGGCCAATCTTAAGTTGGTTTCCGGGTTCCGTTTTGTGTGTGTGTGGAAAATATAGGGAGCCCAGGTTTTGGAGCACGATTCCTCCACCCACCAGCAGCGAGGAGCCTGGGATGCATCTGCGCAGAGCTGCACTTGGGTCTTCCCGTTTGGCCAGGCGCGCTCATTTTTTCTTCTTCTTGTTTTTTCCGTGGGATGTCCCGCGCTTGCGACGGTGGGAAAGTGGTTGAGTTCTTGGTCGCCGCTGTCCCGTTTTTTCATCGAGCCACTCCCATTGAAAGGGATGTTCGGCGGGGATGGGAGCCCTGTGATATCACAGACAGCGTTAGTTCGCTTTCGCCCGAAGACGCGGCGGCTAAGCGGCCGCTTTGGCCGCACGAGACACGACTTGAGCGACAGCAGGTTGGTTTGGATTGTGCTCGGCTTTTTGTTATGACGGACCCCCTTTCGAAGTGTTTCGAAGGGAACCCAAAAGGAACGAAGCCACTTCAAGGGTCCCAAATTTGAGAAACACACCATGAAGGAGCAAACGTTAAATCGGATCTGACGGGCTTGGTACTGCTTCGAAGTCCATTTCGCGCCACCGTTCAGACACCCTGGAATGAGTCGATTCCCCAACGCTTAAATACCAACACGCCATGGCTTCATCAACCGGATTTTCATGGGGTTTTTGGCGCGCCTGAGGGCAGTGTGAGTATGACCAGCTCCGGCTGATCACCAAACTGCTGGGCCTGCCGCCCACAGAGATGCTGGCCATGGGCAACAAGAGCAAGAGGCCGGGATCGATCCGCGGGAGTGCAGGTCCCCGAGAGGTCAAAGGCAGAAGCATGATCGGGTCTCCTAAAGCCCAGCTTCGGAGATTTGTCTTAGGGGTTGGGGTGGGCTTAGGTCCTTTACCGCAATCAGGTCTAAAGATGGGCAAGAGAGCGTTGTCAATGGTGAGGCTGGAACCTCGGATAGCAAGACGCCCAGACCTCCCCTTGAACTGTCTCCAAAACTATTCTACGGGGTAGACGAAATATGGGGGGTTATCACTATCACTATTCCTGGCCCCCCACATGACCATGGCTAACTTTCCCGTTCAGTGGGGAGAGTCTTTTTTTTTGGGTTCCCTGATGGTCATCCCATGTATCACGGACCTTTCATCAACCCCCGATATATAGACCGGAATCTGAGAGTCGATGTCTGCATCTGCCCTGAGTTGGGCCAACAAAACGGTGCGCTGTTCTTCGCCTGTGGCCACAGGTAACAAATGCGTCCTCAAAATAGGTCATGTCCGTAAACGACAGTGGGAAGGGCTTGCGCCTTGGAGCCCCACAGAGGGTAATAAAGGGAAATCTCTGTGTAGAAATTGTGAGCCCAAACATTTTTCCTGGCTGGCTTCTGTCACGGGAGCTATGCATGTTCAGCCAGAAGCTACTGGGCCCCTCAAGCCGGAAGAGGCTACGTAATTGGCCTGATCTTCCTTCCACAAGGCTTACCTTCCAACAATCCCCAAAAGGAAAGTAGTCTTCCAAGCTTCCAGAGAGGAGAATCCAACAATCCCTCAATGTCAGTTGCCCCAGGCTTCATGAACTATTGCTCGAGTTTTGTTGAGGGCACAACCCATTCAGCAAGGAATCACTCACGTTGTAGGGCACCCGCCCAGCCATAAAAGAGGGCAGCCTTGCGCAGATGATTGCAATATTTTTCCAGGAAAGATTCTCATGGATGTTTGCAGGATGCTTGCAGATGTTTACGCATCCTTAGAGATGCTCAAACTTTTTGACGGGTGTTCCCACAACTTGATGCTTTCAAATGTCCTAACAGCTCAGGTCAGTCTGGGGTCATCATTTTGACGGTTTCTAGGTGTTATCAAAGTCAGACGTTGGCGTTGTGTTCCACCACTTGGGTGACTGTGACAATGGTAAAATAGTGGGGCCAGTCAGGCAAGAAAGCCATTCTTGAACGGGCAGGGTGCTTCGTAAGTGAGTAATAACCATGGTTATAAACCACTTACCATGGTTATAAGTCTCCTAAGTGGAATATAGCCAGGCTTACTAACCACTTACTAGGTATCCGATCGCCCCTTCAATTGACATAGAATGTGATCTTGGCTCATAGGGAAGTGTCAAACTTGTGGACTCTTTTCGAACCCCCCAAAAATAAGGGCAATTGGCACCTGAAAAACAAGTCCACCTACTTTTGGGCCAACTCGCCCATTTCCTCGAGGAGTTTCCTTCCAAATCAAGACCAGGAGGGGCCTCCCCAAAAAACCCGGGCCACCCTGCCTCTTGGCTTTCGGGTTTTCTAGGCCGAAGTCTTCGGACCATGGGGAGGGCGTTTTTCCGAACACGGTCTTACCGCTTAAAAACACAAGGTTTAAACTTTTTGGGTAACATGGGCTATATGTCTGTAAAAGATGAACTTCCCCAGGGCTTGGAGTTTTAAGTCCTTAACTTGAGTAGTTTGTTTGGCTAATTTAGAGGATCCAAGGCTTTGTCAGGTCGCGCGAGTTCCGGGACTTTGGTCACTTTTTGGGAAAGACCGTTTCGTGGCCTACTCGCAGCAAGTTGCTGAACTTTGTTCGGCCAATCGACGCAGGAAGTGAGTATATTGGCCATTTCACGGAGGACGTGGTTGTAAGGCTTGCGCAAGCCTTTGTGACCATCTTGGTTGAACCAACGTCAAAGAAGGACATGAGCAACCCTGAGAAAGCCCTCAAAGGCCTAAGCTAAACCATAAGACATAGAGAATGAAACCCGGAGAATGCCTACATAGTCACATGAAGGCGTTGTATTTGTACAATCAACCGTTTCCCCTGACATAACAGGTTGTTTCGGGAAAGTGGAAGTGAGTGATACGCCGTTGCTCCCTGTTCCCAACGACTCAAGACACAATTTGCATGTCTTTCAAGCAAAGCCCGTTCCTGGGTGTTTTGTGGAGGGTACCCTTCAAGGCAGACCAAAAAGGCAGACCTGTTGCGGGGTTTCCCCCACTACTTTGAGCCAACTGTTGGCTCTCCGGCGCGTGGGAGGTACTTCAAGCGGGAGGCCACCCAGAGCTGCACCTCGCTCGCCTTGGTCACGAGCACCGAGTCCCCAGATGGACGTAACCCGAAACAAACGCAGGGAGCCGGGGAACCAAACAAAAAGGGTGCCTCTACAAATTGTGGAGGTCTTTTTTGGTTGGTTTCCATGTCAATCTCCTGCAGATGAACAAGCCGCTGACCTCCGATGGCTTGCTCAGACGGTTTTCTGGGATCTCTTTTGACATGATATTTCGCATTTCCGGGCATTTGTGAGCGGGGGCAACAGCTGACATATGTTTATCCGGACAAGCAACAAGTTGCGCCATTGTTCTGGCCTTTGCTGATTAATGGTCTCAGCGAATCTGAAGTTGACAGGAGAGTGCTATATTGGCCAGGTTGTGAGGCACCAGGTAGAAGAAGCTTGACTTGAATGGGTTGGATTGGCTGGGCGGTGCCGGCAAATAGGTGGAATTTGACATGTGGGAATTTAGCCGCAATTTGACCTGTTTCTGGGGAGACCAGCTCCCAAGGGGATTTTGACTAGCTTAGGAAATTGGACGGGTTTTGAGAGGGATTTGACTGGTTTCTATTGGGAATTTGACCGGTTTACGGTGGGAATTTGACCGGTTTATGGAGGGAATTTGACCGGTTTCTAGGGGGAACTTGACCGGTTTCTAGGGGGACTTTGGCTAGTTTAGGGAACTCTGTGCAACACCAAGACAGTCCGCCGGAAGACTACAGGCAAAGCTCTGTGGAAAGACTCAAGCGCGCAGCGAGGAGAAGCTTTTGGCCTCAAAAACGCTGCGCGCAAGCAAAGGTTGCGGCGGCTCGTCAGGCAGCGGTTGAGGAGGTCGTCGTCCAGCTCGCTCTGCGCCACTCGCGGCCAAGAGCCGCCGCGTTCGCAGAGGATTGGCGAAACGGGAAAGCCACGCTGTTGAAGGCAGCTCGAGCAAGCTGGCTGTGTGTTCCCCTCTTGATAGGAGCCACCCGCATCTCCACCCACTCTCTCTGCCCCACACACACTCTCTGTCTCTCTCTCTCTCTCTCTCTCTCTCTCTCTCTCTCTGTCTCTGTCTCTGTCTCTGTCTCTGTCTCTGTCTCTGTCTCTGTCTCTGTCTCTGTCTCTGTCTCTGTCTCTGTCTCTGTCTCTGTCTCTGTCTCTGTCTCTCTCTCTCTCTCTCTCTCTCTCTCTTCTCTCTGTCTTCCTTCCTTCCTCCCTCCCTCCCTCCCTCTCTGCCTCCCTCCCTCTCTGCCTCCCTCCCTCTCTGCCTTTCTGCCTTTCTGCCTCTCTTCCTCTCTTCCTCTTCCTCTCTTCCTCTCTTCCTCTCTTCTCTCCTCTCTTCCTCTCTTCCTCTCTTCCTCTCTTCCTCTCTTCCTCTCTTCCTCTCTTCCTCTCTTCCTCTCTTCCTCTCTTCCTCTCTTCCTCTCTTCCTCTCTTCCTCTCTTCCTCTCTTCCTCTCTTCCTCTCTTCCTCTCTTCCTCTCTTCCTCTCTTCTCTTCCTCTCTTCCTCTCTTCCTCTCTTCCTCTCTTCCTCTCTTCCTCTCTTCCTCTCTTCCTCTCTTCCTCTCTTCCTCTCTTCCTCTCTTCCTCTCTTCCTCTCTTCCTCTCTTCTCTTCCTCTCTTCCGCTCTTCCTCTCTTCCTCTCTTCCTCTCTTCCTCTCTTTCTCTCTTTCTCTTTTTCTCTCTTTCTCTCTTTCTCTCTTTGTCTCTTTTTCTCTTTTTTCTTTGGCGCTAATGGGCTTGTTGCTTGGCTGGCAATTAGGCAGGAGATCCAACAACCAACTTTAGCTGCCCTATCGAAACTACCTGCGGCAGACAGCGTGCTGATCCTGGCCCACAACACCCTGCCAATGAGAGACGATGAGTGAGCTGTAGCCCATTGCCGCCTGTGAAGAATGGGCTCGCCGCCGCCTTTATGTGAAATTTTTGGTCGAGGGCATCATCATGAGTCGCCGCGTCAGCGCAGTCCAATTTAGATCGCAACAGGGCGGACATGGAGAACACGAAGTTTTGCGCGCTGGTGAGTTGCGCGCTGCAGGCGTCGGAAGAGCCGTTGACAACACCAACCAGACTGGGATCGAGTTGGACTACCGGTGGCCAAGCGAATTTCCTGAGCTGCCGAAAAGGGCCCGGTGCATCGCCTCGTCAGCTACTGGAGGCGAATTTGGCTGGAGGCCAATGGACATGAGAGTTGTCAAACTCCGTTCATTTGACCGCTGGTTTCCCAGGCATCGAGGAGGGAGGTGATGGAGGAAAACAGGCGCACCGGAACGCACCAAACATAGTAACATTTGCAGACAGTTTTACCTTGAAGGTTGTCCAGCTCAAACCATCCCTGCTCGGGTTGCCGTTGATTCCCCATTCTTTTCACCCGTCTCTTTTAGAAACCGTGCCCTGTTTTTTGGGGAGCCCTTTTTGTCTTGGTTGGCGAGGAAAACACAAAACCAGCCAATTAAAAACACACCCTCAGCATGCCTTTGCTTGCCGAGGCGATGCTTTGGAGGCCGTGGCCGCCGCTCGGTTTAAATCGGGTCTCCTCAGTTTCCCTTCAAACGCGGCGATCGTTTTGGTGGACATCACAAGTCAAGTGACCTCTGAATGGCGGTCTATGTTCCCTCGAGTTTACTCGCCCCTGAGTTCTTGTTGTCGTTCTCGAACTTCCAGTTTTTTCTCTCTTTGCCGATGTTTGCTCCTTGGTGTTCGGTTCCTTGGGGCGACATTGGATTATTGACCCTGGATTCACAAGTTTGTCATTGAGGCCGCTGTCGTGTGACCCCCCTTCTCGAAATAAAACGATCTCTTGGAATGGAGAAGGAGCACTTTTAGAGGTTCGTGTTGTGTATCTTCAAGGGAGTCAGATAAATCTTTTTTGGTTGCTTGACTGTATGTTTGTTCCATCGGACGCAACATGTCAATGTCGGACCCTACAAGACCGGGACCCCAAAGGCCCTCCCAACCCTCCCCAATTTGCCGTAATGTTGATTCTGGATTAATAAACCTGTTTATTAATATTGGGGTGTCCCTGGTTTTAATGGGGATTTATCACTTTTGGAGGGGAACACCCCCATATTAATACACAGGGTTTCATTAATCCGGGGTCGGCATTATTCACCCTTTGTTGGCCTTGTGTTGCAAAGTTCGATTTTGTTCTGCTCCGCACCCTTCGGGCGTCTTTCAGTTTTTTGCGGTTCAAGTACCACCTTGTGCTTGCCAATGTTGATTGGGCTCCCCTTGGTGATCAGAGGGGCAAAGGATTGTCAATGAGAAGAAAGGGTCTCGTTCAGGACAAGGGGTTGCAGCAAAAGCGAACAAACAGCTTACGAGCCGTGACCAAAACCCGAATGCTCTTAGATTCTTCACATGTTTTTTGGGTAGGCCGTGCTAATGCCACCTGTTGCTTATAGCAACTGACCGAATTTCTGGTAGTCTGCAAACCCAGCACGAGCCTGGCCGACTCGATGCGGGCAATGCCGATAGCGTCTTGCAACCGCTTTCGAGGCGCAGTCGAAGCAGCTCCAGGAGCTCACGAGCGCCGGCTTCTCAGAGCCAAACACCGGTGGCTTTCCCGCGACCTTGGACGGGTTCGGGGCGTTGCATGGTCCGGCCCCCGCGGTTTTGTTGTTTTTCGTTGTTCGGCCAGTGGCCGACTTTTGGCTTTTCCTCCCTCACTTGCAGCCAGGTGAGACCGGTGTAGATCTACGCCTTTCCTGAGGAAAGGGGGTCTGGGAGTCTGGGGTAGTGGTTTCATTGGTCAGTCCCTTGAGTTGCGAGCCGTTTTTCACGCTGACCAAGAATCAATTTAAATAATGCTCCGTTTCATGGGGCTCTTGCCCCATTTGGGGCGGTGATGGCATTCTGGGGTTGGGTCGGGGGCCAACCCCCCCGGTGTTTTTTTGGGGTCTGTTTGTGGGGTTTTGGGGGGTTGCCTTTGCGGGTGTTCCCTGTTCTTTTTCTTTTTTTCTCTGGGGTTTTGGGCACAGCGCCTTGGCGGGCATTGCGCTTGCTTCGTGTTGCGGCGCAAGCCCAGCACCTTCGTAGGAGCGCCCGAAAGATCCGGCGAGACACTTTTCTGTAGCCCGGCTCCACTGCCAGACCAAAGGCTTGCAATTCTGCTTGTTTTGGTTTTTGTTGTCTTCATGGAGATTCCTGCATGTTTTGGGTCCGGATGCGGGCGATATCCCAGGCGGTGCAGGTGGATACGATCAGCACCCAAGCGAGCACCGTAGCGAGTCAACCTGAGGAGGGGGGGGGTTGGGGCGGGTGACAATTGTAACTCCCAGACCTCCAGTGGGGCATTTCACCGTTTCCTCCAATTTGAATGGACACCACCAGGCAGTTGATCAAATTTTGTGACCCCTGCATTTTTTTACAAAAATAAGTTCAGGTGATATCCCCAAAAGCATGCGGGCTCTTTTTAGTGCTCGCACCACCCTGCAGCCCTTGCAGAACCTCGAGGAACCCTAGTGGAACCCTGGAACCCTGGTGGAACCCTCGTGGAACCTTACCTCAGGGCCGCCCCGGACCACCCCGGAGCCTATCTGGGCTGAGACCCCAAAGCTTTCCGCTGTTGGGGAAATATATCTTTTTCAAGGGGCACCCTTCCAACTGCCGCAAAAAGAAAAGGTGCCCTTGGTGTCCCAGTCACCGGCGGAATGTTTGCGGTGCACCTTGACTGTGGCTGACATGAATTCCATGAGGAAATTGTCCGAATCTGTTGCCTTTTCAACCTCGTTGGAGCCGGTGTCGTCTTTTTCCATTGGCTGCTAGAAGAAGCCTCAAGAGCCACGCGGAGGGTTAAATGGGGTTGGTGAAGTCTACTTCCTGAAAAAATGACAGCCCTCCCACCAAACATGGAACCTCCCTGTCCTGCTGGACACGGATCCTGTGCACATCTATGTTTGTTGGTGCGAGGGTAAGTCTGAATAAGTTTTTTTTTTTTTTTTTTTTTTTTAACAACAACAAGAAACAACACATGCTGACATGCTCTGCATTTGTTCCTGCGCCTGGAGGTGGGAAGGTAGGGAGGTAGGGAGCCTGAAATGCCTCGATTTAGGTGGTTGGAACATCACCTTCTCGGCCAGTGTCCTTAATCATTACTTCCCCTGCAAATTAACATGGAACCCCAGAAGAGATCCCCCAATCTGGGGGTTTCTTCTTCTTGGTGTCTGTCTTGATTTGGGCTCATTAAAAAAGAGTGTCTGTCTTGATTGTATTCTTGGTGTCCGCCGGCGCAAGTTTTTACATTCCCGGTCCCGCAACAGTTGCCCAATGCGAATCGCTTTTTTGGCTTTCACCCGGTCAGGACTCCGGAGGCACGCCGGCCGACAGAGTCGAGACATCGAATCCACCAAAAGACATGGGAACACTCAAAGGGGCTGTCCTTCTCTTTTTTTTCCCCTTTTCTCGGAGCGCATTTTGTCCTGGCGTTGTTCATGCCGGGTGTTTCGAACCCTGGGGTGTAACCCAACAGCCCCCGATTCCCTTGTGACGTGCTCCTGATTTGTTGTGGGTGCGAGATCCAGAAGTAAACATCTGCCAACGTTCAGATGGCTACTACCAATTTGGGCTTTCCTTGGTTTGGCTTTGACCGAAAACTGGACTAAGCTTAAACTTTTTGGTTGAGCAATCGTTTTAACCGCGTAGCAAAGCAAGGGAGTCCCACATGTCTTTTTGTGCGGAGACGGCAGGTGAGGAGCCCGTGATCCACATGCTTTGGAGCACACGTAGATTTCAGCCTGTTCAGATTGCCAGCAAAACCGGCGCCGATAGCTTGCAGAGCGACTGCGTAGTAACTTGGAAGAAAGAGTCGCCGGCTTGAGAAGGGAGGGCCCAACTCAGGGTTTCAACTCGGAACCAGCGCAATTCCCGCAGCGGGTTTGCTTTCTACCGGGGTCCTAGTCGGAGCCTAGGTTTCAGACGGGCGCTGCGCAGGAATTTGCACTTGCCAAGCCGTCCCTGCCAGAGGGGTTTACATGGATGAGCCGTAAGACTGGGCACCTTGCTCGCGTGCGTCAGGGGAAGCAGAGACGGGCAAGGCGGGCTTGCGCAAGGGAACGGCTGGCTCGACGGAACGACCTTTGCACATGTTGTTTTTGGGATTTGTTGGGATCCCAGCGCATCCCAGTTTCTACTATAGTTGTTTCACCAACCATCTTCCTTTAGCTGTTTAGTAAGGTGATACTCTTGGCTACCTACTGTACAGGTAAATGTAATCACTGGCTTGGTTGCTCCCGAGTGCGACCTTAGCTGAGGGCGTGTCATTCTGTGGACACTTGGTGGAAAGGAAGCCGAAACGAAGCCCTTGCCACTTTGGGGGACCACTAATTTTGAGAAGCCTGGCTGGGGGCGGGCTCTGGAATCAGAGGCCGCGAAGGGCCGAAGGGTCCCGGAAGCAACTGGACGGGTGTCCTCTTTCAAAACCAGATGGGACCGGTGCCATTTGCTTTAAACCCAATTGACCCAAAAGGACACCTACTGTGTGTGCCCACAAGGAGAAGCTGCAGGCATGCTACAGTAGCACGTCGACGGACAACATAATGCCAAGGTAAGCCACACACCTGAAAACCGATGTGTTTGTTTCTTTGGAATCTGCAAATATTCCTGCAAGCAAGACTGACTGCTAGCCATCCTCACCGCAAGCGGTCCGGGGAGTCGAAGCCTGCCTGAACCTGGGACCGCTTCGGGACCCATTGGCAGGAAGCCCATGGAAAGCTCGTGGAAACGATCCCCAGTGGATCTACCCCGGCGAAAAGCGAAAACCTGACGCCAGTGGAGGAAATAAACGCGAACACACTCTGCCCAGGGGGTGTGGGCATGGGCTAGGCATTTCAGTGGTGCTACCTTCCATTTGAAACGTATTGCCAAAAGAAGATTGCCAATGTGCTTCGGAACTGATCCCAGTTTTTTAGCAGCATCAGCGGACCCTTCATTGGGTCAGTTGACCTCCACAAAGAGCTATCAAACCTTTCTTCGGGTACGGGGTGACTTCGAACATGAGGCCAGTGAAATGATCAACCGAGTGAAAAGTGGGTCAACACAAGCGTCATTTTTGGAGAGCCGTCCTTCTTTTTGGCTGGGAAGGGGGGCCCGGGGGGGGGCTCAGGGACCCTCCCAGGTCGTTGGCTTGCTTTCGTTTCCCTCTGAAAGCCGTCCCACCCGAAAGATCGCAACCTCCAGCATCCCTCTGAAAGCCCGAAATTGGAGGTCCCTTCGCGATCGAACCAAACACATCTGTTTACTTGGATGTTCGACCAACTTAGTAAGTAGCTTGTAGCCACGGTTGTAACTAGGGTCACTGGCGTTGGTCCCTTATAAACATGAGGGTCATCCCTGAAAACCCTCCGATTGAACCCCCTTGAAACCCATCCCAAACCCAAAACTCCTTCCGTGAGACCGCGTTTTGTTTTTCCTCGCAGGCGACCCCTTCGCTAAGCTGGAGGCTGAAGACCTGTAGGGGCGCCCGAGGATAGGGTTCAGGGATTCTGGGACGTTTTTCAATATGGACGCCCTTTTGGTTGGTTTTCTGAAGGCAAACCACCAGGGTTTGCAGGGTTTGCCTCAGGGTTCCAGCTAATTTCCACCAGTCGTCCATGGCAACACTGCCCTGTCTTGCTCCTGCACTTGCCGCACAGTGTTTCTTCGACGCGACTTTTTTTTTTTTTGTGTGTGTGTGTGTGTGGGTGGGGGAGGGTGGGGGGAAGAAGGAGAAGCCCCATAAGCAAACAAGTCAGCGTATCGATGGCACCCTTGCGGTCCTGCTTTTTGGGTGGGTTCCCCACTTCCCTGTTAAACCGAAAAGGGGTTTCCCCTTTTTTACCTGGCTCAGTTTGGTTCCATCCTCGCTTGCCAGTTGTCATCCTCTTAAATTCGAAGGGGACTTCGGTTTGTGGCCCGAGTCATCTTTTTTAGGTCACATCGGTTCAAAATCATGCCGACCCTGGATTGATTAATGCTGTCGTTGTGGCTCCCTATATTTCCCCGTTGAAAAGGAGGAAGCTTACCACAGCCCAGCCCAAGGTGACGTTTAAGCTCCCCTTGAAGACACATAGGGAGCCCTGTTCGAATGCACGGGGGCCTGGGACAAACAGAAACACATTGTCCACCACCTTGCTTTTGTTTGTTCCCTCAGAACTTGACACAGCTCTGGGGTACATCAACATAATATGCTATAGCTCTGATTCATACTTAGCCAACCGCAAATTCCAAAGTAAGATGCGAGGAGACCCCAAAGAAGTGCTTTCATACTGTCACCATTCTGAACTCAGGAACCTCAGCAAAACCTCGCCAAGGAAGCTTTCGTATCCCCCCACATAGGCTGACAACACATGCAAACATGACGGATACCCCTCCCGCCAAGAACAAATGTTCTTGGCTCAAATCGCAAGTATCTGGACTTAAACAGCATGTCGGGAAACCTCCATTTTACTCGTTTTGTGTTTGGGTTTTTGTTTGGACACGCCCTTTTTATCTGTTTGGTGATCCTCCTTTTTCCCCAAATAATATTTACACTATGGGGTTCTTACGGTAAGAGTCAAGGCCGGTTTAGATCGAGGTTCGCGCGCAAATTGCTGGCCCGTTTTCGGTGTGAGTCTCGCACGAAATGGAGGTTCGCGCTGGCACGTGCGTCTCGCTGTGGTGCCGTTCACATTTTTGATTTTTTGGCCTGCAGGGGCCACACTTGCGATGAACATTTGATGAAACCGCTGTGACGCGGGTGCGTGTTTTTGAGGAAGCCTCGTGCCAAACGCTTTTTTTGAGAGCAAAGTGCGGCAGGGCCGCCACGCGGTGATATCTTCTTGTCGGGTCAGGCTACGGTGCTGGGACAATCGGAGCTCCAAAACGATACTATGGCAGTTGTCGCAAAAACTTGCCTTGAGGGCGAGAGCTTCGCAAGAAACGGACCTTTCTGCAAAACTGTGCTCTCTGTGGCGCCGCGCCGATTTTTGGGATTTGTGTGTTGCCGCAGGGTTCCACGGCCAGCGCAGCATTCTGTGAAACCGCCGTGCGTTTTTCGTGGCGGCACAGTGTGTTTTGCGCTGGTGCTATAGGATGCGTTTCATAAAAAGGGTCTGTGAATTTCGTGGCAGGCTCAGCGTTTCACTCATTTGCAAGCGTTGCGAGACGAAAGTGAACCCTTTGTGGAGATCGTGCGTGTCGAAGCGCTCTCGCTGTGGTGCCGTGCAAATTTGTCTTGCTCGTGGTGAACCCTTTGCGTAGATCCTGCGTGTCGAAGCGCTCTCGCTGTGGTGCCGTGCGAATCATTTGAGCTTGGCAAACCCTCTGCGGAGATTGTGCGTGTCGAAGCGCTCTTGCTGTGGCGCCGTGCGACTTCGTCTTCCTCTCGGCGAACCTTCTGCGGACTTCCTGCGTGTCGAAGCGCTCTCGCTGTGGCGCCGTACGAATGCGTCTTGCTCTCCTCTGCCGAGGTCCGCTCTTGCTGTGGCGCCGTCCGATTTTCTGTTTTCGTTGCTTGCGAATCGGTGTTTGGAAGTTGTCTCGTGGTTCGCGCGTCTGCTTTCACGATCGCACGTTAGCACGTGCAGTGCGCTTCCGCAGCTCCGGCATGACATTCGCAAATTGTAAGTGCAAAAAGTAGTGCGAGAAGCGCGCTCTCGCAGCTCCGGCTGACAAATCGCAAGGAAATGCATTCCCGCAGCTCCGGCTGACAAATCGCAAGATTTAAGTACAAAAGCACGTAAAGAGAATTTCCAGAGGCGCGGCTGCGAAATTGCAAGTTGCAAGTACAAGATTAGTACGCGAAGCACACTCCCGCAGCTTCGGCTGAAAATTCGCCAGTTTTAAGTACCCAAGTAGTACGCGAAGAGCATTTCCAGAGGCGCGGCTGCGAAGTCGCAACTTGTAAGTACAAAAGTAGTACGCGAAGTGCATTCCCGCAGCGCTTCGGCTAAAAAATCGGCAAGTTTTAAGTACAAAAGCACGTGAAGAGCTTTCAGAGAGCTCCAGCTGCAAAATCGCAACTTGCAAGTGCAAAAGTGGTGCGCGAAATGCGTTCCCATGGCTCCGGCCAAAGTTGTACGCGAAGTGCATTCCCGCAGCAGCTCCAGCTCCGGCTGCGAAGTCGTAAGTGTTTTCGCGCAAAGGTAGCGTGCGAAGAGCGCTCTCGCAGCTCCAGCTCGAACATCGCAACTTCAATTTAAAAGCGCGACTGTAGTGTTCGGAAAGTGCGCTCTCGCATCTCCAGCTCGAAAATCCAAACTTGCAGGCGCAAAAGTAGTGTGCCAAGTACACTTCTGCAACTAAAACCGCCAGCCTGCGTGCGCAGCCAAACTGGACGCAGATATGGACTAGAGAGGTTGACAAGAGAAAGGGACATGAAAGGTTGGGTGAGAGAGGTTGCATAGCATCATGCGCGAGAGGGACCGTCACGCGTAGCATCATGCGCAGCATCGGCATGGCGTCGTGCGCAACGTCACGCGCAGCATCGTGTGCAACATCATGCCTGCGCAGCATCATGCGCAACATCACGCGTAGCTTCACGCGCAGCAGCGTCAAAGCACAGCGTAGCGCGCGAGAGAAGTTGACAGGATATATTTTTTCGAAGCGCGGCGCCAAGCTTGCTCATCAGAACTTGCAGAAGCTACGAAGGGACATTGATGTGTTTGCGCTTGTTTCTCACCTGCACTGGGACAGGTGTCAGAGTTTTATTGGACGTCTTTCTATGCTTCCGGGCCACCCGTCGTCAAACTAAACCCAACACCACTTGGGGTCTCTTGCCGGGATAGTTGTCTGTTTCGTAAGGGAAAGATCAATTTTGCTCTTTTGTTCGTTGGCAGTGGGTAAATGTTGACCCAGCCAGCGATTGTAGTGGCAAATGCCTCAAGCCTTTTTCAGCCAAACGGTCGAAGCCTTCAAGCCGAGGCGAGGAATACGAGCAGGAGGCCAACAAGAAGTTGGCGCGGCGCCAAACATGTCATGACTTGGGGTAGACTCAATACCCTTTCTCAGGATGGTTTTGGAAGATTTTCCCCCGAGAAAAGGAAGACGGATTCTTGGGGTTGGGGCAAGAATTCAGGAAGGCGGGCAAGTCAGAAAACATATCCTGGAGCTGGTTTCTGAGACGAGGACCGAACAACAGTATAATAGAGATTGGAATTGTGTTGGCGAGTCGTGCTTCAAAGTCATATTGACCCATTATCATGAGATAACTGTATAACACATACCTTTACACATCTATAGATAGATTGATATAGATAGGTATATATATATATATTTAGATGGATACATAGATAGGTAGACAGATAGAGATTGACACAGAGATATATATATATATATATAAATACAGAAACATATGTATATATAGATAGGTAGATAGGTAGACAGACAGACAGACAGACAGCAGACAGACAGACAGACAGACAGACAGACAGACAGACAGACAGACAGACAGACAGACAGACAGACAGACAGACAGACAGATAGATAGACAGACAGACAGATAGATAGATAGATAGATATGTGTATGTATATGCGTACGGATATGCAATGGTTTAGCTCCTTACATCGTTAGGTTGCCACTTTTTGCTACTTGCTGGGCCAAGGGCCCCCCCCCCCAGTACCTGGGAGAATCACCAATACCAGGTTTGGTGTGGGGCAAAAAAGCTGAGGTAGTGAGAATGACAAAATGAGAATGGGTATGGGAATCTCACTTGAGGTGTCGCAAGGCTGTGTTTCCATGCCCTTCAATCAACCTTTGCCGGGCGAGACATGGTTCAACTACCCTGCGACCCAAAAGGTTTTGAGAAAGGGAAACATGTGGGGGTATGTGAGGCTACAGCAGGGGGCAACTCTTTTTTGCTGGGGGTTGCCGGTGGGAAGTTTCTTGGAGAGGGGGGAGTGTGTTTTTGGGCAAAGGGGGGGCCACCACTTTCAGAAACCCCCAAATAGGAACCCAGGATTGTGGTAAGCTCCTCTGATTGATTCGTGAAGCCCCATCTTAGAGGAGAACAAAGTCATCACATTCGGATGAAACAGACGTTTGGAATCAGCGAGCTGTTCTTTTCGGAGAGAGCATATGAGTCTAGGGTACTGTAGGGGTCCCCAAAATGGTGGTTGTCCTATTGGTTTGCCTTCAAACAAACCCCAACAAGGGTGCTTTCCGCGTCTTCGCAGTAGTCTTGTTCTGCCAGATAATTTCGTGGTGCGGACAGCTTCTTCGTGGAACCGAGCTACTATATTGGTTTGTTCCACTTAGGACCAACTTACCCTACTTATAAGTTACTTAACATCAACTTATGTTAAGTCGGTTATAAGTTACTTACGACCAACTTAGACCGAGGTTATAAGTAAGACCTAAGTAGGTTTCTTTTGGGTCGCTTTTCTGTTTTTAGAGGATGGGCTTTTATACCCGGAGGTCATACGAAAGAGTTTTTTTTGGCTCACCTCAGGAAGGACAGCGCCTTTTTTTAGCAGCTCTCGCCTTTTTTTTTCGCGCAGCGAATTTCCAGCGCGATGTGCTGGGTTGCAGGTCTTCATGCAAATACAGATTCTAGTGCAAGCAAATTACAGTGGCGCCGTCATGACGCCACGCCGCAGGCTTGAAGCAGGTAGACACAAAGCGGGCGGGGACATGGTCCTCGCGGTCTAGCTGTCTCCAGGTTGTGCCCCAGGGCTGCTGCGCGAGGAAGACCAGCGGGGTCAGCGCAAGGCGGAGGCTTCCATCGCCTCCCGCAACGAAGTACTGCGCGACGCAGCCTTGCCGCCTGTCTGACGAAATCCGGGCAGGCGAGCATGCTGCGGCGGAAGCCGACCACATGAGAGAGCTCTCGCCCAGCTTCGCGCGGAGTCGCGCGGAGGCCGGGCGGATGGGGGGTAGCAGGCGCCACCCAGGCGTCATGCCACCCTGCGCGGCAGTATCAGCAGTGATAGATATCAGGCGAGGTAGAAGAGCCTTTTGAAAGGCCTCCCCGTCACCCAGCCGAGCCTTTTGCCTATCGACATTCCCGTGGGCCTTCATGGCCTGATGTTTTTTCTCGTGCAGCGAGCAATCCGGGACGAACCCCAATATAGCGATGGAAGCCGGCATGTGCATTCGCGCGTGGTGCTTGGGCTTGACTTCGTCTGGGCCCCAAGCGCGATAGAAGGCTTCCATGTGGAGACTTTGCGAGACATCTAGAAACTCCGCGTCTCCACGGGTCAAAACGCGGCCGCAAGCTTGCAGCTGCCGCAGCTCTCCACAGCACTGCTTTAGCAGGGAGAAGCTGTGGAGAAGAGCTTCAGCATCGGCATCGTCTCTCAGGAGAACGAACAAGTAATAAAAGAGCAGAAAGACCAGAGGCCTCGTTTGATTCCCGTTGCCCTTGAAGAGACCTGGTGCCCACATCTTTTCGTGGAAGATCGCCTTCATCCAGTACGTGGCGCGGGCGGACTCGTTTGGGCGCAGCCATTTGGAGGCCAAAGCGCATCCCAGCAGGTCCGCTGGAGTAATGCCGCGGGTTCCCAGATAGTCCATGGCCAGGCCGCACTCCCAGCTGGCGCAGCCGTTCGCATAGTACGTGTGGAGTAAGTCTACGGTCGCAGCACTTGGCGGGAGCCGACACCTCAGCCGCGGGTTGAACATGAGGCCCGACTCAACGCGGTTCAGCCCCAGCGCCATTGAGCGAAACTTAATGTCCTGCTTGTTTGTTAGCGCCAGAAGTTCATCCGCTAAGCGGAAGAAGACCCGGTCACTGACTCCCAAGAACTTTTCCTGGCGCCACTCGTGTAGTTCTACGAGGTTGGGCGCTGACAGACCGTGACCCTTGCGCACCACGTTCCGGCACGAGATGCACGGGACAGTGCCAGCCGCGCCCTTGAGCCCGAAGATAAGCCGGATAGCATCGTGATCCGCCATGAGTGCGGATCGCTGGCCGATCCGCACCCACCGCGGGCCCTCCGGCAAAGCCACAGGAAAACCGGCCAAGTGGCTAGGCGCGTGGATTGCGTCCAGGAGCAGGCTCGCTAACGCGCTGAGCCCTCCAGTGATACGGTCGATGTCCGCTTTCTGCACCGCGCACAATGTGACCCAGGCCGGCTCCGCTCGAATGCAATCGCGCAGATTTTTGAAGCTGAAGTAGAAGCCAGTAATTTTTTTGCGTGACTTGATGGCAGCTAAGACGTTTCCACATGCGACCTCGTCGCAATAGACAACGGGCTCGAGCTCCAAGATGGCCGCGGCCGCACCCTGGCACCGGGCCAACGCGGCGCCCCACTCCGGACTCTCGCGAGCTAGCCTCTGGAGGCCCCGCTGCACGTTCAAGACAGCGACGCGAATGGCCGAGCCGTCCACTGCAGGCAACTCGCGCCAGTCGCAGCAGTCCAGCCAGCACGCGTAGTACGCCGTAATATCTTTTTTGCAGGCGGATGTGGCTGGTGCCTTCTGGGCTTCGCCCCGAAAGTGAGTGGCGGCACCCCGCCAGATCTGAATCTTGGCCGCGTCAGAGGCGCCCCGTATCTTCAAGCACTTTTGAAAGGCCCGCGTATCAGCTGCTGACGCAGACCTCGCTCGCTTCCCCGCCATAAGCCGGCGCGCACGGACAGGCCGAGAAAAAAAGACACCCAGTCTTGAGCCAAGTATATATATATATGTATGACTTATATAGTGCGATATATAGACTGGTTCATATATGTATATATAGCGCTCACAGTCCGAACTATAGAGCGCATTTTTTCTTCTGCATGTGTCGCGCGCAGTCCCGGGCTGGCTGCCTTGCATGGATTACTATTAAGGCGTCGAGAGCACCGCGCGCAGTATATACATGTGCGCCGCCTGGCGCTGTATATACAAAGGCGCATGCCCCAGCCCCCGAACGCCGCGGGCCTGTGTCGGAACACCCCCCCCCCCCCCCAAAAATGCGCGAAGCGCGTGGCTCACTTGCGGGCAGCCCGGGCCCTCCTGGCCCTGCCCTTTGGCGCGGGAGGCGAAGACGGCGCCTGCTCTTTGTTGCGACGCTGTTCCTTGATGCGGCGACGAGCGCTCTTCAACAACTCGCCCCATGCCGCCTTCCGGACCTTCAGGTCCGCGAGAACGAACGGCAAGTCCGCGAGCGGTACGCCCGCGCCCCGGGTGGCTTCCCGCAACGCCAAGAGCTCGGCGCAGGCCTTCTGCCAAGCGGAGGCTTCCGACTCTGCGCGCCGGAGAGCCTCGGCCTCATCCTCCGAGACGTCCGCTTCCGCCGTGCCGTCCTTTTCGACACATGGAAGCTGCTTCAGCACGGTCGGCACGGCTTTGCAGAAGGGAGTGACGATGCTCAGGGCCTTGGCGGCCAAGTCCACCTTGACCTGATTCTTTTTGTCGGCCTTGGCCTTCTCAGCTTCCACTGCCTTCTGCGTGCGCTTGGCGACTGCCTCGGGCTTGTCGCCTGACTTGGCCTCTTTCGCAGGGCGACCCGTGGCCAACGACTCGACAGCCACGTCCAGTTCGACGGCGGGCCCGTCGTCCTGGTCAAGCCCGGAGTCCAGCGCCGCCGACTTGCGCTTCTGATTTTTTTTCTCCCGCAGAGCCTTCTCGAGCTCGCAGATCTTTTCCTCTGCCTTGCGGTGAAGCTCGCGAAAAACGTCCTTGCGGATCGGCACGGCGTATAGCCGCCCTAGCTTATCGTGGTCTTCAAACGGGCACGACTCCACTGCCGGCCGCTCCCAGCCGCGGGCCAGCCAGACCGACAACGGCAGGCGCTCTGCCTCCACGGCGTGCTCCTGCTCCGTTATGTGCTGGCTCACGAGGCGCGACAAGAGATTGCTGCGCACAGTCTGCCAGGTATAGCGGCCAGCGAGAGGAGCCTCCTTGCACTTCTGGAAGAACGTGGCGCGATCTTCTAGACTCATGCCCTGCACCGGGGTCTGCCCGACGTTCCTGTAGAGCGTCGTCTGCAGCGACAGGCAGCAGCGGCATGTGAACGTCTTAACCTTATGGCGGCCAGCCGCATCCGCCGGCATCTCGAGCTTGCAGATCTGACAGAGCAAGGGCTTTGGTGCTTCGGCTGCTTCGGGCTGGGCCGGCTGAGCCGCGCTGGGCGGGGATGCGTCCATGGCCCGTATATACGCAGCCGCAAGAAAAGCCTCGTTTTCTCCTTTGAGCCACGCAGCTTGCGGTGCACACAAGAATGTAAGTTTTTGCCCGCAGGCCGAGAAGCGGGCCGACTCCGGGCCGACATGCGAGGAATGCCATGGCTCATACCCTGGTACGCGGGCCGACGCAGGCCGACACGAAAATCTAAGAAAACCATACGTTTTTTGGGTGGGCCGACGCCGGGCCGACAACTCCCCCACTGCCGGATTTAAAAAAAAAAACACGGGCCGACAAAGGCCGACACGTGGCCGACACCCCCCCTTTTTTACAAAAACCAAGAAAATCATGCCTGCCCCTGGAAAAAAAACTTTAAAAAGGAACCACTTCCCTTCCCCCACCCCTCCCCCCCCGACCCTTAGCGCCTTTCTTTTCTTCCCTCTTTTCTCGTCCCGCGCGCGCCGGGGCCGCGGTCTGGCCGCACCCTTGCGCAAGAGCCGCGGTGCGGCCGGAGAACCCCGCGCGAGCACCCCTCAGCGCAGGAGCTGCCGCAGGGTGGCCTCCCACATCTCTGCCACCAGCTTGCTCCTTGCGGCCGCCGCGCCTCCCGAAGCCGAGCCTCCAGAAGGAGGCGGCGGCGGCGGAGGCCCCTTCCGAGGCTTGTCCCGAGGACTGTCGGGAGGCGGAGAGGAGCTCTCACGCCGCTGCTTCCTCTTGTGCTTCTTCTCCCGCGGGAACGGCCGGGATTCGGGAAGCTCTTCCTTGACGCGCGGCGTGAGCTCCCGCTTCTTTTCTTTCTTCTCCTTCTTTTCTTTCTTCTCCTTCTTTTCTTTCTTCTCCTTCTTTTCTTTCTTCTCCTTCTTTTCTTTCTTCTCCCTCTTCGGCGGGGGAGCCTCCTCAGAGGTCGGCTCATACCCCTCAGCGCGCAGCTCCTCCGGGACCGGCGAGTCCGCCATATCGCCCTGGAGCCAACGCTCGCGCGCGTGCGCAGCCGCCTCCTGGCATCTCTTCCAGGGTCGCACCCCGCGCTGCCACTGAGCCCATGTCAAGCAGTGGGCCCCTCGGCGGTGATCCCTATAGCTGTGCGCCGCAGAAAAGATCTTGCCGTGGCAGCGCCCACAGACAAAAGTCCTTCCCTGCCGATTGCGCGCGGGCCTCACCCTTTTGCGGGGCGCGCGCGCCTCGCTCTCCTCCGGCTCGATCGAGGGCGTCGACCTGCGCCTCTGGGAGTCCAGCTTCTGGCGAAGCTCCCGAGCCTTCCTCTCCCTCTCCTCCGGGGTGGCGGGCGCCCCCTTAGGCTCAGAGGGCCTCTCACTCCCTAGCGCGGGAGTCAAGACCACGCCCGGCCTCGAGCTTTCTTTCCCCCCCTCCGAGCGCGGCGGGGTCAGCGGCGAAACTCCCCCCTCGACCGGCGCCAGGAGATCTTCGCGCTTCTCCGAATTCGCCGGAGCTGTGACGCCAGCTTCCGGCACCGCCGCGAGGCCAGCCGCGTCAGCCTCCTCGCCGGCGGTGTCTTCGCCCAGCACAGCGGGCGCCACGGGGCCTGCCCCCATGGGCGCGTCCCCGGGCTCCGACGAGCTGTAGGAGCTCGTCGAGGACGCCATGGACCTGGCAGGGACGTAATACGGACGACATGTGCATGCGTGTGCGCATATCTATATAATTGAATATATATATATATGTATTGTGTTTTTATACGTGTCTATATGTATGTGCGTGTGTCGTGCGACGGCGACCGCAGCCAGCACGTCTTCCACTGGCGCGAGCGACGGCCACAGCCAGCGCTCACAACCTGCGAACCTCGGACGGCGACCGAAGCCAGCGCGTCCGCCAGCCGGCGCAAGGACGGCGACCAAAGGCCAGCTCGACCTGCGGCCACTGGGACGGCGACCGAAGCCTGCGCGTCTGTGAGCGGCGACCGAGGCCCGCGCGCTCACTCGTGCGTGCGGGCGGCGACCGAGGCCGACGCGCCCTTGCCGCACGGGCGGCGACCAAGGCCAGCGCGCCCGTATTTGTTCGACATATAAATATATATATACATATATGTGGGATATATATATATACACATATACGCACACAATTATATATAATCTGTTTCGTGTGTCTTCCGATTTGCGCATGCACGCGTGTGTGCGCGCAAACGCCTGCAACAAAAAAACCGGCCTCCGCCGGGCTGGCTCCTGCCAGTGCTATAGCGGTTCCGAGCCAAACGGCAGCGGGGTTCACTTCAGGCAAACATATATACGTATATTTTTCTTTAAAAAAAAAGCGGAACGAACAAAAGAGCCCTGCTATATATATGCAACAGCAACGATATGTGGGGCAGCCCCCCGGACCGCTTCGAATCTATATATATATATATATATCTATATTTTTTTTCGCGAAGTGTCTCGGCTCACGCAACGCATCGATGCGCAACATGCCCTCGCGCGTCGAGGGCGCTCACTGAACCTTGCGGAGACCTCTTTTTATCCAGCAGCTAGGGCAGCAGCCGGGTCTGTTGCGACATCCGCCGCAGCCCTCCGGCTTGCGGAGCAAGCACTGCCGTTCCGTGATCTCGGGCAAGCCGCGACCGGCGGACGGCGGCTTAGACTCAGCCTTCGCCTTTGCAGCCGGACGCTTCAAGTTAGCGCTTACGTCCTTCGCCTCCCTCGCCGCTGGGCGTTTCATGCCGCGGCTTGCTTCCTGGTGATTCGGGTCGTGGCTCGCCGCCGGGCGCTTCAGCTCCAGCTTGGCTGCCGGGCGTTTCAGCTCGTGCTTCGCCGCTGGTCGCGTCATCCCACGACCCTGCAGCCCTTGCTCTGGGTCGGCTTTATTCTTGCGACTTGTGGCAGGCAAGCCTGCCTTCTTGCGCAGGGCGGCTTCCATTTCATGAACCTGGTCTTCGGCCGATGCCTCAGCGCTGCATAGGGCTATCTCTGCTGCGCCCTCGACAGGGCCTGCCTGTTTAGCTTCCTGCGCTGATGGCGCGCTGAGGCTGATAGCCAGCGGCTGAGGGCTCGGTGCGGGCTGTGTCGCCGGCCCTTCCAACTCTTGGCCAAGGCCCAAGCGGGAGCTTGAACATAACGTGCGCTGACTGTCCGTCAGCGCCAAGCTTTCCGTGGTCGCCCTTCGCGGCACGCTTGGCCCTGCCACTGCTCCAGCGTTCGAAAAAATCTGCAGGTTGCGCAGCAAAGGGGGCGACTGCGTGTGGCCGCTACTATAGCCTGTCAGCGCGCTAACCAAAGCCTGCAGCCCAGCCTGCACTGGCGCCACCCCTTGCTGCTCCAGCTGCACGGTCTGATGCGTGGATCGTAGTGGCACGCGGGCTGCGCACAAGCTGTCCTTCAGAGAATGGTCGCCCGGCCGGCCGAGGAGGCCTCGGCTCAGGGATGTCTTCGACGAACTGGCGCTGCATATCTGCTGGCAAGGCCTCCCAATCGCCTGGCAGACCGGTGAGCCACGTTGCTGGCTCATGGTGATGCCTTTGAAGCTGTTTTTTGATCTTGGACCAACACTGCTTCAAAGTTTGCACATGCAGGTGCATATTGTACGCATCTGCGTTGCCTTCCAGCAAGCCAAGCGTTGCGGACAGGTATCCAAAAGTCCCCTCGCTCGGTGTGCGCAAGCCCAAAAAAAAGGCGCGCGTCAACATGTGCTCTGCCCTAGACCGCGCAGATGCCATGTTCCGCAGCGCTTGCCAGTCCGATGCGAAGAGGAAACGATCCAGTCGGCTATAGTCCTGCGCCGCCCTGCGGGTCTTCGGCGCTGCGGCCTCGCGAGTTCGTATGGCCTGAAGTATCATATCCCGCTCCTCCGCCGAAAAGCCCAGAGGGTCCGTCGAAAGCTCGGCGGCAACTTGGTCCACCTCTTCTGGCTCGACAGGGGTGGACGCCAGAAGCGTGACCAGCGAACGCATGTGCTCTGCGCGATCGGTGGGCGCTTGCTCTGCCATGTGCTGGAGGCTTCGAGCCATTGCCGTCACTGCTGCTTGGGCCATGGGATCGACTCAGTGGGCGGTCTATATATGTGTTATCCACCGTGGAGCCCAAAAGTTGCTGCGGTCGGTCGCGCGAGCCACAGATGTACTTTCACACGTTTGGAGCGTAAATGAGATGTGACCGGATGGCGCGACATGTGCGAAAAAAAGGAGGACGTAAGTCGAACCTAAGTCGAACCTAAGTCGAACCTAAGTCGAACCTAACTTGTTTGACTACACTTAAGCTAAGTCGGGTAAGTGGGACCTAACTAACTTACGGCTGACTTAACTTCGAGTTATACTTAGGTACTACTTAGGGTTCCACTTAACCAACTTATAACCCATGTTACCTAACTTATAACCTATGTTATAAGTAGGGTAAGTCGACCCTAAGTTGACCAAGACAATATAGTAGAATCATGCTCAGTGTGATTTCTCGGATTCGCGAGTTTGTGAGCCACTTGCAAGTGGCAGATCTTTGCGTTTTCGCATCTGTGAAGCAGCAGCCACGTGCCGAGTTTGAGCGCCTGCGCTCTGGTGCTGTTGACGAATATTTTTCTGTGGGCTGGATCCGGCTCACATCCCCCCCCCTTCACCTGGAAGTGGACTTGAGCCATTTTTCGGGAAGATACTTGGGGCAATTGCTGCAGATTTTTTGACTTACGTGGGATACCCAACAAGGTGGGGTTCCTTCTCCCTTTGGCAGACTCCGATCCTATATTTGGCAGACGCTGAGGTAGGAGTTGCGCCCGCAAGTCACGGCATGATATCATGCCACTTAGATATTTACATACATATGCGCAACTGCATCTGCATGCTCGTAGCCACGTATACGTACCAATATATATATATATATATCACTGTGCCGTATGCGCGAAAGCCCAGCAGTTTAATGCCGCTTGAGGGTCAAAGGGGGACACTGTAGGTTTCCAAACTCCAGGGGACGCTCTGACTTGCTCATGTCCACCACGGACAGCTGCATATCTTGACTACAGTGCTACATGTTGTTGCCACTGGTACTTGTTTGACTCAACGCGTATCACCAAGCAAGGAATACATCGACTTCGCCTGAATCACGTGTGCAGGCTCGCATTTTTGGGGGTAAGGCGCTTTCCCGTTTTTGGTTTCCGCCCTGCCTTCCGCCCGGCGGCACGCGCCCAGACCATGTCCAAGCGGAGCTGGAAGTTCACGCCGGGGGGCCCGGCGTCTTTTGCGGGCCCCGGGTGAAGTCATCGAACGCCATGGGGCCAGGACCCAGTCCAGCATATGCCCGGGCATTTTGGCGGCTTTCAAAAACAACACACGCATTTTGGGCCGCGCATGTCAAGCGAGCGTCCTTTTTTGGGCTAAATGAACCAAGACCATGAGGCCTGGCGTATGAGCCATGCCCATGGAGCGTAAACGGAGTCCTTCCTGCCCTTTGCGCTACAAGGAGGGTTGAATCATAGTGGACGTGGCGTGGGGCCTAGGTGCCTTGAGGAACTGGTGAAGGACGTTCCCGAGGACAGAGGTATTTTGTGATGCTATCGTCCAGCCTGAATCAGGCCTCCTTTGGGGCTTCTTTGGGGCTTTGAAGGTCAGGTTGTTGGAGCCCTGGCTTCATTCATTGGTGCCATCAAATCATGTCAAAACACCTTTAGCGTTGCATCATTGAGTAAGGATTGTAGATGAGCAAGGGGACCATGAACATGGCCCAAGGAGTTTGACAGAAGTCTGGGGCCCAGTCCAACTCCTGAATTGCCTGACGAAAGAACTCCGAAGGGCGGTTTTCAGTTGGGATAGAGTAGGAACTCCTCAGTGCAGGTGTTTCTTGCTGGTGCGACTGGTCTCAAAGGAAGCCATTGGAGATGGTTTCTAGGGGCAATTCCGTCATTCCTTGCTGAGAACCAGCAAGTTTTTGGGACAAGATTCAAACAATTGGGCAAACGAATCAGATCGCGACCTCAAATTCTTCCGGGGGAGTTGGCGTGATTTGCTTCAAGGGGCTTCCCTCGGCGGGGGATATGCAGAAATGTGGACCTGACTCATCCAAAAGCCCTGAGAAGGCGGCCAGTTGCAGTTGGGAGGCCCCTCAGAAGTATCTCTGCGGATGAAACTCAGGTTTTGGGACTTCTTTTGAAGGTTCCATGTCAACTTTGCGGAGGACCAAGCCTGTATTTCAAATGGCCTTGTACGAATCAAATGGATTAGGACATCAAAGGTGAGCCTCAGGACGAGACACCCATAAAATATACTCTCGCGTTTTTTGTTGCTGGTTCAGACCATCCCCTATAGTTTCCTTTAAGGAATTCCTAGGTTCATTGCCAACACCCTGGATCCTCTGAGCACCAGCAAGTTTTGGCCATGAGATGTCTTACACATTTGCGACAGCCTCACAGAGGTATGTGTCCAAAAATACAACCCCCAAAAGGCTGGTTTCTTTGAACCAACTGGACACGTGCGCAACTCCAAAGAACAAGCGCGCACCCACACATGTTCAGAATTACAAAACAACCCATCAACCACTTCCCACCAACCACCACTGACCACCCGTTGGCTTGCTCTTTGGTCGGATCTTTAAACTTTACCTTTTGTTTGCTGAAATGATGATGGTTCCGACGAGGCAGCTAAAGGTCAACAACTTGTGGCATGGGCGGAGCTGCGCCAGGAGATGCGGAGCTGCTTCTTGGAGTTCGTCTCCGGGCTCTTTCAGATGGACCCCAAGAAGCGCTGGAGCGCCAAACAGGCCGCGCGCTCCGAACGCCTCCGAACGCCAACTCCGAACGCCGTCCGGGGAGTCCGAAAGTAAGCAAGTTCCCCCAGCCCGGCGCCACTCTGTTTTTTTTCTCCTTTTGGCGGTTTTTGGGCCAGGGTGGTCCAGTTTTAAAATCAAGAAGTCAAGCGCCAAAGATTTCCCATGGCCATTGGGCTTCTGAGCTCCCTCTTGGGACGGGCGACCTTTGTCCTCCCCTTCAAAGGGCTTGTGAAGTTTTACCGGCGTTCACCGATGGGTTAGAACGAGCTCAAGTCCATTAGTGACTGCTGAAGTTAGCTGTTCTAATTATTTTATATGCGTATTGTAGCTCATGATGGTTACCTGCATCACCAGATGTTTTTGCCGCTGCAATGTGGCATCTGCATGAATTCAAAATCGCTACTGGAGGGGATATTCAGAAAGCACAAAGGCTGGTAGTCCGGCCATGCTACCCATGAATCCGGGGACATTCGGGGTATGGACCTCAATTCTTCTGCCAAAAGGAGGCCAACAAAAAGGATGGTCATTGAGTAGTCTTTCCAGCCCCCCTATTTGTGTGAACCCCACGCAAAAGTGATGGACCCTTTTGGGTGATGAGAAAAAGAGAACCAACAGGAAACAACCTATTTGGGGGTTCCCATAAAACGCGACAAGCCATTTTGGGGTTCCCCCTATTTTGATATGCATGTATATATATATATATGTATGTGTGTATCGTTGTATATGTATATATATGATATATATATATATATGTATATACATATTATGCATATCACCTTCAGGTTTTGGAGAACTCAGTTCCGGAGTGACGCAAACAGCGGCGAGCGTCATCTCCAGGCGCTGCTGCATCCTTTCGTCAAGGACGATGCGGTGGCCTCAGCCATCCATCCTGCCACCATGGCACGCGGCACCTGCGGGAGGGCGTGGGGGAAGATCAGTTTCCCAGCTTCTGAGTTCTGGCGACTTTGTACCTTTTTGGAAAGACAACTTTGGAAGTCCGCTGACTTTTTCCCTGTCCGGCGACCCGCTAGCAAGGGAGTTTTGAAAGACAATGTCGCTGGAAAACAAAGTCTGTTCTATTTTGGCCAAGCCACTGAAGCGAGTTTGTTTGAGGCAAACTGCTCTCGTCAAGCGCAATTTGTTGAAACGATGAGGTGAGTTACTGGACTCACAGTAAACTTACTCCTCAAGCTCCTGGACATTTTACTTTTTAGAAAAGGGAAGCCGTAAGGGCAATTCCCCATGAGGGGTTCTCTTCCTTTGTTATTTGCTGCGTCTCTTTCTGATTTGGTGCGAGGAACCTCTCTGTCGTTTGGTTGGTTCCTAATCTGCAAAAGTAATCTGCAAAACATGGGGCAACCCCCTCCAGGTGCTGGGTTTCTTTTTGTTTCCCCAACAGTATCCATCAAGTTTTTGGTGATTCGCCGTGTTTCAGTGGGCGTCGTCGACCATATTTGATGTCCTTCCACATTCTGAGGGTTATATAATAGATATTTGTTCTTTTGCCTGGTTGTCTGTCAGGGAAATGGGTGTTGATCTCCTGGCTCATTGAATGGGAAATCGTAATTATTTGGTGGTTTTCCCCAATGGTCATCCCATGTAAGGACACTGCCACGCTTGGCCCGAGGAAATTGCCTGCGGATCGGAGGCACAATCTATGTCCATCAACAGATGTTGCTTAGACCCCCTCAGAAATGGTCCCGACACAAACCTCAAGCTCGCCAAGTACAGGGTAAGCTAGGACGAATACTATAAATAGACAAATAGATAGATAAACAAATAAATAGTATATATATATATAAGAAAAACAAGAAAACACGAAGCCCGGAGATGTTTGGCTTGTCCTATTTTTGTGCTTGGTTTGGTCAGGGGGAAGTTTCTTAAGTTTCCAGGTACCCGGCCTCTTTTCTGGTCCCCTTGGAGTCCCGGGGTCCCGCTCCCGCTGCCCGATTCGACCGCCCGTTTCTCCCCAAAGGAGGGAGGGTACGACCTGGCAGAAGCAGACGGAGAGGGCTGAATCCTATCAGATTTTGGCCGTTCCCAGCCAACATTTTGAGGTATTTAGAGCTGTTTCTAGCTGGTTTAGTGGTTCCATGTGACCCACAAGTGGAGCTTTTGGCAGATCTGCGGACAGCCCCTCAGAAGTGACTCCCCCCCGCCCCCCGCCCGATTTTGACCTCATTCTCTCGTCAACATGTCAACATTTGTGGACTCCAGGAGGGGTAGGTACAAGGTTGATAGCCTGTTTCGTTTCGGCTCCCTAGGGTTCAGTAGCTTCCATTTGCTTAAGGATATGTGTTATTTTCCCCTGTTGGCTTTAAAGGGAATCAGGCACTACTGGACATATGTTCTATTTTTTTTCACGCGGATTAAGTAAATGGAAGTAAGGGTAAAACAGCCCCCCCCCTCCCTTGGGACTCCATTTTCGACATGGAGCCTGCCTGAGGTCCCCCTGGAGGATCCTGTTGCTTGCCAGGGCCTCAGAATTTCCGGGGTTCGATGTCAGAATCCGACGGTTCCCCACCGCACCCCACCCCACCCAAAATCTCACTCCCTGAGCTCATGGTCTTACAGGGAAATGGGCTTAGTCCTCCAAATTGTTTTTAACTGTTGTGCCAAAATGTTGGGTTTTGTCTGCTTTTCTTTTTCCGAAACTCATACCAACACCCAGCTCAGTCAGAACCCTCATGACAACACCCTGAAAAAGGGTACCGTCTAAAACAACATACACCCATCTTGATCCGTCAGCCGTTGGCGAAAGTCGGGGGCTTTGCCTGCAGTTTTATGTTTCAATGGGAAGTTGTGAGCAAATATCCTTACTCCAACCCAGTTTTCTCTGGTTTGTCAAGACAACGTCTTTACCGCGCTGAACCGGGGAGTGCTCAACAAAAGACCTGGTATTTGGAGTAGGCCTGGGCTTCCCAAAGGAACCCTTCGCAGGTTTCCAGTTGGCAACCCGCGTGTTTGGCACAAAGCCCAAGACTTCCAAGAGGTCGGCTCGGGAACGAAAGGGTTTTTCCAGCCCGGCCGAAGGCACGTCGGGCATGTGTCGGGAGCCCCGGGCTTCGGGCTGTAGACGGATGCCCATGGTGCACCATGGCCCATGGCCCATGGCTTCGGATTTATTTGGCATCCGTATGGAAAAGGCAAACCCATTGTTGTTTTGTTCGAACTTCTGCATGTTCAAAAGGGAGGGGTTGGGTTCCAGTTCATCTGATCACTCACAACATTCACGGTACTTCCGTATATGAATACGAGGTAACCTGGTGGTGTTTGGTGTGGCTATTTTTGCACCTCTCTTTGTCTCTCGCTCTTTTGCTCCTTTTGTCTCTCGCTCTGGTTATTTGGTTGCAGATAGCCCACAGGAATGCCCCTCCCACACTTCAAAAAAGATTAATACCATGGATGGACGAAACCCTGCACCTAAGAACCCCTGGAATGCTGATTTCCCTAAAAATGCCAACGCACGATAGTTTCCATGGTCAGGATTTCGTCCACTGTACGACTTATTGGGGGAATATGCCACAGGCCAGATGAGGCCTTTACGGTTGTGGTCATTTTGTGGGTTGGTGCCTGATAATGTCTTCTCCCTTTAAGGGGGGGGGGGTGTCAAAAGGCATACCGCCGGCAAAGGTGTCTCCTCGTAACAGCGTCGGCCAGCGATTCATAAAGGGGGAACATACAATGCGTTTTCCAAACATGAATCCCTCACCTGAAGCAGAAAAGGGCTGGAAACATAACCAATGGGAGCGCAATTTGTCGGCAGGGCCAGGAAAATAATTCTAAACAGCACTGAGCCAGCTGCAGCAATAATATGCCAATACTAAACCACCACTCAACAGCACTGAGCTAGCACAAAGCGTTTCAAAACCAGCACCAAAACAACATCAAACCATACTAGTCCAATACTGGTTGGATGACTACTTGGAGAAGCCCGGCTCCGACCCAAACCTGTTTGGCATTTTTGTAGCTGCAGCAATAATATGCCAATACTAAACCACCACTCAACAGCACTGAGCTAGCACAAAGCGTTTCAAAACCAGCACCAAAACAACATCAAACCATACTAGTCCAATACTGGTTGGATGACTACTTGGAGAAGCCCGGCTCCGACCCAAACCTGTTTGGCGTTTTTGTCTATCGACTCCCCAGTTTCATTTGAGCGCCCTTCACTAATCATCTCCCACGCTACACAGCATCCACCTATGACCTGAAATGGTTTTCCTACTGTGGATGGACGAAATCGTGCACCACCTAAGAAACCCTGGATTGATGATTCCCTTGTAACTACCAAGCACACAATGGTTCCCCGTGGTTTCAGAGTGGTGCGAACGGATTTCGTAACCATCCACAGTAGTGCTTTTCTTGGGATAATTTCAATACGTTCACTCACACGCGTTGTTTCCCAGCGGTGGGCTGAAGAAAAGTCAGGAGCACCTGGAGAGAGAGAAACCTCTCCACCTGGTGGGGTCATCTTTTTTTTTGTGGACCTGCCGCAAAAGTGGCGGAAATGAACTCCCCACCGGAATTTCGATGTCCAAGAAAAGGGCCTAGCATTCACACCATATCACTGTGTCAAGAATAGGTTCCCCAAATGGAACCCTGGTAATTGAAAACATGGACTAAAACCTGGGGTCCATATCCTGGTGGTCCTGTTTTTTTTGTCCCTTCCCTTTCCCAGCGGAGACTTTCCTCCTTGGGTCCGGTCCCTCAGCGAGTGGGTAGTTCCGGGACCCTGAATCGTGGTGTTCCTCTTGTTTTCCGCGTAGCCTCAAAACGAACAAAGACACACAAACACATCCATGGTGCGAAACATCCGATCCCAAGTGTCCATCACACGGATCCTCAACATCAGGTCAGCCCATCGATGCGAACGCGCCTTCCAGCACCACAGGCGGGTGTTTTTTTTTTTGTTTTTGCATGAGATTTCCTGTCACATGGAAAACTTAGCCGTTGATAGCAGTCAACCATCAGACTAGTGGCAAGCAACAAGCTCGCTGGATTCATGGCGGTGTTCCCCCTCAGTCATTTGGTTGCAAAATGGGGAGTTTTCGCCATTAATCAACTTGGGGTTGATTGTTCTATTGTTGATTCCCCATTCGCTTCAATCGTTCTCTTTAGAAGCCAATTGTCCCAGGGCTTTGGCCCATTTTTGAAACAGATTGCCTGGAAAGAATGGGCAAGGTGCGGCTAGAATTACATCATGCTAGATTACCACTTGCCCTTGACGTTTTTTCCACTATGGACTCCAGGAGGGGTAGGTATAAGGGGGTTGGGTTGATAGTCCGTTTCGTTTCGGCTCTTAGGTTCCTTAGCTTGCATTTTCACCTGTTGTTTTTAAAGGGAATCCGTCACTGCTGGAAAGTGTTTTCTCATTTTGTCCAGGGGGCGAAGAAGCAAATGGAAGTGGTTTTTCCCATGGGAATCCCTATGGAGTTCGATACCCGAGGGTTTCCCTCAACGAATGGGTTGCGCAACCCACTGGATCGAATGAGAGGAGCCCATGGAACGAACGCCCGGGGGGGGGGGGGTGAATACGACTTGTATGCGCCTACTCCTCACCAGCTTCTGGAGTGCGGATCACTTTGCTAAACAAGTCCTGTTACTTCCTGTTTTTATTATTATTATAAATAAAAATAAAAGACACATACTTTTACTGATCAATCCCACTCCTGCGAGGGGATTTTCTTGAAATTAGTGACGGGCTGCGGGGGTTAATACATCAGGGTTCCCTAGATGTGTGTTTTCTCTGGTTTCAAGGCTGTGAGTGTTTGATAGGCGATGTCCGGTGAAATGTCTTGGAAGGAACCATGGTGTCCCGATTCAAAGCAAAGGGTGCGAAGGGAAGGCCATGACTGGACGAGACTAAAAAGGAAAGCCACGCTTTGAGCTTCTGATTTTGACAAAGACCCATACATTCTACCAAACTCAGCAGGACATGCTGCAGGATGTCCTTTGTTTTGGTGGGTATTTGGCCCACGTTTTCCGCAGACATTCGCTCGGGCTTGCATTTTCGGAGTCTGGGAGAGGCACTCCAGCCTCCTCGCCCCATGGGTCTGCCTGCTCAACGGCCTGAGCCTCAGAGATTCGAGCGGAACCCGGAAATCCGCCTTGAGTTGAAGCTTCAACCTCGAACTGTTGTCTGAGGTTGGAAGTAGAAGCTCAAAGACGCTGTTGTTAGGTCTTGATTGGTTTGTCACTAAATGCCGCATCCCCAAACTAGCGTTTTTGTTCTTCTTCTTTTGGATATGTCAGAAAACCACAAAGGCTATCCTCAAAAAGTACACCCACATAGTTCTTCCCTTGTCGTTTGTGGTTCGGATTGCTGCGTCGTCTTGGACGCCTCAGCTCGGTGTTTCCAGGGATTCCATAGATCTGAAGGGGCGATGTCCGGGATGGGGTGCCTTTTTCCGGAGCCCCCGAATCTCGAGACGGCTTGAACAAACTGGCTCCTTTGCGGAAGCCACCAGAAACCCAGCAAAAGCGGGCGGAATCCGCAGCGAACAATGGTTGTTTGGCCGTTTGACCTCTTTTCCCCTGCGGCCTTCTCAAAGCCTTCCTTGGCCTTACCTCGCCAGGGGGTTCCAAATTGGCATCGTGTGAATGGAGACGCTTTTGGACTTTTGGTTTGGCTCGCTTTGCATCCATCCCAACTGATGGGCAGGCTTTTTCTGTGAAGCTTCGGCTCACGAGGGGTTTCCCTGGCTTCGCAAATGAATTCCTGGTGGGTTTCTTGGCAATCCGCTGGTATGCGGTCCATGGGCAAGAGGAGAAGGGAGGGCTTAGTGTTTTTGGTGTGTTTTTGTCGGCCACCCACGCGATCCCCAGAACCGCCGTGATTTTGTGGGGTTCCCCCTCAACTTGTCAACTTGCCAAAGAGACGAGGGAGGAGTTAGTTGTGTTTGTGTCGGTATTCCGCAGATTTTCGCCAGACTTTGACCCTTTTTTCGTTGCGGTGATTCCCTGGTAAGCTGAAATTCTCAACCAACCAAAAAAGGGTGCCTTTTTTCTCCATGGAACTCCACCGGGCATTTGAATCCCTTTTGGGTGTAGGGGGCTTGAAACCGCTTCGCGGTTCAAGGCCTTCTCACAGGCCCGGCAACAGGCGGGGGGCCGATTCGGCGGTTTTCTGGTCAGGTCCTCTCTCGGGTTTCGGCAAACCACCCAGAACCCGTGGTTCCATGTGAGGGACCAGCTAGGGGTGTGGGTGTAAACTTTTTGGGGGACCCGAAATGGTGGACATGAACTTGGAACATGGTTCCCGAGTTTAGTTTTTTTTTGTTTAAGCAGCCGTTGGCACCAACGGAAGGGTCACGGTATGTTCGCTTCTGGGATAGGTGTCACAGCAGGGGTTCTCTTTACTTCCCCTTGGGGTGATGTTGAAATGTCGAAGAGGGAAATATAGGGAACCCTGGGGAATTTGGGGGAGATGGTGGGGGGCAGGGTACTTAGTAAGTGGTTACTAAGCCTGGTTATAACCCACTGAACGGAGACTTGTAACCATGGTAAGTGGGTTGCAACAACGGTGAATAACCACTTACTAAGTACAATGCCCCTTTAAGTAGACAGGTTCAACAGTTTGTCCAAGCATCAGATGAAAGGGGTCGGAGGTCAGACTATTCAGACAGAACTATTTTCACAGGGGCCAGCCTTTGAACACGTCCAATCATAATTTGTTCGTAGTATGTTTACGCGTACGTTCGAACGGGCTGCTTTTTGCAAGTTGTTCCTTCTCGCTTGGACCTCGCAAGGTCCGCAACCGGATTCCTCTAAGAAATGGCTGATTTCTGGGTTCCAGACTGTGGATGCACAAAGTCCTGCACCACCTAAGAAACCCTGGAATGATGGCATGATTCCCCTGTAAATACCCACCAGCAATGGGTTCCCATGGTTTCCGTTCGTGGTGCGAACGGATTTCGTAACCATCCACAGGATTAATTTGCAGGAGCGTGTTGTTTAATGAATCTCCTTGTATTTGGCCGTTCCGATGATTAAACCGGTCCCGTAAGAGTCTTTGGTGAAAAAGCTCAACGGAATTATTGTTTTTTTTTGTTACCCCTCCCATGAATGAACATGGAACTTGTAAAGTTACCCCTCCCACCAGTTAACATGGAACCTGACCCCCCAATCCTGGTTTGGACCCTTTTCCCTTTAAAGGGACAGGGTCCCGAGCGTCAGGTTCCATCTGAATTGGTGGGAGGGTAAACCGACCGGATTTTCTCAACCTTCAGCCCAGTGGCTTGCGAGGGCTCGATAGGGAATGAGAAATGGAATGACCAGGAGAAAATCCATCCCTAAATGGCGTCCTTTATTTGGGAATGCCCAAAACTGGTTCATTCCCAACACCCGGACTCGGTCATTCTCTACTGAGCGGCGAGGCTTAGAGGGGCCGAACTTCAACTTTGACAGGGCTCGTTTAGTGGCCGAGCCAGCAGCTTTTTCTGGGGCGGGGCAAGTCTCAGTAGGCTCACTGGGGCAAACATGACTTTCTCCAGTTTTTTTCTCACTCCCCAGCCAGACCAGATCTGCTTGGGAGTTTTGGGAAGCCCATTTCTCGTGAGGCTCCCAAGTTCCAGGGTCCCGGCGGTGACGGGCCCAGTTGGCGTCCTGCGCGCGAGGGGGGCTTTTTTTTCTTTCTTTTTGAAGCAAGCCCAAAACTGGGCCAATCTCAGGAAGCAAACCAATCTCACAAAAATGAAGCAAACCAAATGGGCCTGAGAACCCTTCTTGGACGACCGGTGAGGGGCTGCACTTTTGGGCGCAGCCCGCGGGCATCTGACAGGCGATGTTGAGGAGCCCCTGGCACCTGAACTCCCCGGGCAGCGGCTCCGAGCCACGGCTCAATCCCTGCGACCTGTGGTCGGCCGGGGGGGGGAGGGGTTTGGCGCTATGCTTATTCCCTTGATCCTTGTTGTCTTGGGGTTTGTGTGTTTCTTTGTTTGCTTGGTTGTTGGTATGGTTTGTTGGTATTGTTTGTTTGTTTGTTTGCTTGCTTCCTTTCTTTCTTTCTTTCTTTATTTATTTATTTATTTATTTATGTTTGTTTATTTTTATTTATTTCTTGTTTGTGTGTTTGTGTTTTTGTGTTTTTTGTGTTTTTGTTTGTTTGTTTGTTTGTTTGTTTTTGTTTGCTTGTCTGTTTGTTTGTTTCGTTATTTGTTTGTTTCAGTTGTTTGAGCTGGTCGTGCTTGTTGTTGGTCGTATTTGTAGTGTTTGTTCTTTTCACGTTTATTTTGGTGTTGTTTTGCGTCATGCAACTCTCTTCACTTCAAGCACTGTCCGTTTCCGATTTGGGGCGAGCTATTGGAACCTGTGAAGGGGATGCTTGGGCGGGTTTGTTTGTTAGTCCGTCCGTTTGTTTGTCCATCTGGCTGTTTGTTTGTTTGTGGTCGAGTTGTTGCATTTTTGCCATGGTGTTTTTTGTTTTTGTGTGCGTGTGTGCTTGCGTGTTTTTTTTGGGGAGGGGATGTGTTTTTGAAAAGGAACGTTTTGGAGGAGGAAATCCGGTCATGGCTCCCCTATGGCTCTGAAAGCATTTCCCCAGGCCCGCTTTGGGCCACTGTCGGCACAATGCTCCGTACGCGTCCCTTTTCAAGCCTGCAACATCACCTTTGCGGAACCACCGCTTAGATGAGTTTATTGACACGAACCTTGCTGCCCTTCTCCTTTTCTTTTGGGGGGAGGGGAGTGGTGCACTTGTGCTCAGAGGGGTCCTTGGCAGGAAGTCAGGGTTGAAGTAACCGACTTGAGGGGGAACCGGAAGGAGGTTTGTTTAAACAATAGGTGTTTCAGTTTTATTTGAAGCAGGCCGCTGAGCCTCCTGGTGGTTGCTCACATAGCATGCTATATCATGCCATCCCTCCAAGGCAGGCGTGGGTACTACCGTTACTACATAGTACGTATTCCTGGCCGAAGTAGGAACTGATACACCTCCAGAAATGTGGAGGACCAAATCATGAGTAAACTCGGTTTAAGGTACCCCACAACAATCCTAT